GCTCAACCTCTGGCCCCGTGTCTCCTTGCCGGAGACCTCGCCCACACTGCTGTGGACGGGGAAGGTTGGTGATGCGTCGCGTTTCCGGGTCTGGAATGCTCGTGCCTTTGTCCGCGATACCACCGCGGACAAGCTCTCCGCCCGCGCTGTTCCCTGTGTCTTCCTTGGCTTTGTCCCTGACGCGCCTGGTTGGCAGTTTTACCATCCCACCTCGCGCCGTGTCTTTGCGTCTCAGGACGTCACGTTCGACGAGTCGGTTCCCTTTTACCGTCTCTTCCCCTACCGCACTGCCCCGCTCCCCCCCCCCGCCGCTCTTCCTCGCTCCAGGTGCTCCCCAGGTAGACCCCCTCCCCACTCCTGGTCCTGCTCCTTCAGGTGTTTCTCAGGTAGACCCTCCTCCCTTGACTGCGCCGGTTGAGGTCACTGGTGACTCAGGTCCTACTGAGGGTGGTCCTTCTCGGGGTGCTACTTCTAGGGGTGCTGAGCCTGGGGGTGCGGAGCCTGGGGGTGCTGAGCCTGGGGGTGCTGAGCCTGAGGGTGCGGAGCTTGAGGGTGTGGAGCCTGGTGGTGCTGAGCCTGAGTGTGAGGGGTCTGGGGGTGCTGAGCTTGGCGGTACTGACGCTGGAGGTTCTGGAGCTACTGAGGGTGCTGGCGCTGGAGGTTCGGGAGCTGCTGGAGGGCCTAGTACTGGTGGCGCTGGAGCTGGAGGTTCTGGAGCTGCTGAGGGTGCTCGTGCTGGAGGTTCTGGAGCCGCTGGAGGTACTGGTGCTGAGGGTACTGACACCGGAGGTTCTGGAGCCGTTGGGGGTGCGGGCGCTGAGGGTTCTGAGTCTGCTGTTGCGCGGTCTCCTTGGAGTAGCCGCCTTCGTCCACGTGTGCCTCTCACCCCACAGCAGCTGCAGGACTGGTACGGTCGCCGTCAGCGTCGCGCTGCTGGAGCTAGGAGTGGTGCTGGTCCTTTGTCTACTGGAGGTGCTGGAGTCGCTGGTTCTGGAGGTGCTCGTGCTGGAGACACTGAGGCTGGAGACCCTGGGACTGGAGGTGCTGGGTCTGGGGGTGCTGCTGCTAGAGACACAGAGGTTGGAGACCCTGGGACTGGGGGTGTCGGCTCTGGGACTGGAGCTTCTGGAGCTGCTGGAGGTACGGGAGCTGCTGGAGGTACGGGAGCTGCTGGAGGTACTGGAGCTGCTGGAGGCACTGGAGCTGCTGGAGCTGCCGGTACTGGTGCAGCTGCGCCGACACGCCTGTTCTTCGCTCCGCCGTCTCCGTCGTCTCTGCCGCCGCCTGACTCTGCTCTTCGTCAGGTTGTTACTCTCCCGTCGTCTACTGGTCTTCCGTTACAGACTGGCTCACCGCTACCTGCTCCCTCTCCTTACACTGAGCCGACAGGCAGTCCTGCTACGCGTCGTGAGCCTGCGTCGCGTCCTGTCTCGCCTGTTCGTTCTGGTCGTACCGTTCGTCGTGTCGCTCGTGCGCGTCAGCCGGCTGTCCCCAGCGCACACCTTGTTGTCCGTCGTCCTTCCTCTGCTCCGCAGCCTGTTCCTCTGCCGTCTCCCCCTGCGTCCTCTCTGCCTGCCGTTCCGGACCCTGAGTCTGACCGGTTTCGTACTGAGCACCCTACTGTCACGCGTCTCCTAGCCACTGTTGTCACTGACCCGTCGTTTGAGTCTACTGCTGCGTCTGCCTTGGTCGCTGAGCTTGTTGACTTTGCTGCTGCCTGTCGTCTAGACTACGCCGCTAGTCTTGTTGCTGGGTCTGAGTCTGTCTGTCCTCCGTCCGTCGGGGGTGAGTGTGCTCTTAGCACGGACGTCCTTGAGGACAGGCAGGAGGAGTTCCAGTGTCTTGCTGCTGCTTTACCTCATCTTGTGTCCTCGCTACTTGCCCCTGAGGGAGACCCGGATGCACCAGACATCCCGACTCTGCGCTCTTACGCAGAGGCGATAGAGGGTCCCTACTCCTCTCAGTGGCAGGCAGCCATGGACGCAGAGATGGCTTCCTGGAAGTCCACAGGCACCTACGTTGACGAGGTTCCCCCACCTGGGGCGAACATCGTCAGTGGCATGTGGATTTTCAGGGTGAAGCGGCCGCCGGGTTCTCCGCCTGTCTTCAAGGCGCGTTACGTGGCTCGAGGCTTCAGTCAGCGAGAGGGAGTTGACTTCTTCCAGACCTTCTCCCCCACCCCGAAGATGACCACTCTTCGGGTGCTGCTGCATGTTGCTGCTCACCGTGACTACGAGCTTCACTCTCTTGACTTCAGCACAGCTTTCTTGCAGGGCAGCCTGCACGAGGAGATCTGGCTGCGCCGCCCCCCGGGCTTCACTGGGTCGTTCCCTCCTGGCACCCAGTGGAGCCTCCGGCGGCCGGTCTACGGTCTCCGCCAGGCGCCACGTGAGTGGCACGACACACTGAGGACTACGCTTGCGGCTCTTGGGTTCGCGCCTTCTACTGCTGACCCGTCTCTGTTTCTGCGCACCGACACTTTACTGCCGCCGTTCTACATCCTCGTGTACGTCGACGACTTGGTTTTTGCCACTTCTGACACTGAGGCTCTCGCCCACGTGAAGTCGAAGCTGCAGAAGAGACACACGTGCACAGACTTGGGTGAGCTGTGCAGCTACCTTGGCTTGCAGATCACCCGGGACAGAGCACGCCGCACCATCACCTTGACTCAGTCACAGATGGTGCAGCAGGTCCTTCAGCGCTTCGGCTTCACCTGGTCTTCAGCACAGGCCACTCCTCTGGCTACAGGTCACACGCTCTCAGCTCCACCTTCGGACGAGTCCGTAGAGCCGAGTGGTCCTTACCCAGAGCTAGTCGGCTGCCTCATGTACCTGATGACTTGCACTCGACCTGACCTCGCGTACCCTCTTGGTCTTCTGGCTCGCTACGTGGCTCCTGGTCGGCACCGACCTGAGCACATGGCTGCTGCTAAGAGGGTACTGCGCTACTTGTGCAGCACATCAGGCATGGGGCTAGTGCTTGGAGGGACGAGCCCAGTTGTCCTCACTGGGCACTCAGACGCTTCTTGGGTTGACGACCTGGCTACTCAGCGGTCGTCACAGGGTTACACCTTCAGCCTTGGCTCTGGTTCAGTTTCGTGGCGTTCTACACGCTCGTCTTCAGTTCTCAGCTCCAGTTGTGAGGCTGAGATCTACGCCACAGCCATGGCTGCACAGGAGTTACGCAGGCTCACCTACCTGCTGACTGACTTGGGAGAGCAGCCTCGTTCTCCTCCAGTGCTGTACGTCGACAACAAGGCCGCCATTGCCTTGTGTGAGGAGCACAGACTGGAGCACAGAACGAAGCACATTGCTCTGCGTTACTTCCTGGCTCGAGAGTTGCAGCAGCGAGGCCAGCTTCGTCTTCGTCACGTGGCCACTCGGGCCAACACTGCTGATATATTCATCAAGGCACTTCCGTCTGGTGATCATCAGCGCTTTTGTACCCTGTTAGGCCTTGTGCCTACGTTTCCACACTTGTTGTAGTCTCTGCTTGTACTGTGATCTATATATATACATGCATGCCTGCTCTTGCTAGGTAGTCATCACTGTACTGTTATTGTTGCATATATATCTCTGCATGTGGACTGGCCTTGTGGCCCTTTGCTTGTGCTCAGAATGTGTGGTGACGTTGAGATCCACCCTGAGCTTGCTTTGCTTCTCTTGACTGGTCGTTTGACCCCTTGTTCTCCCCCACTTTGCCTATGGGGGTGTGTCAAACATATATGCTGCATATTGTCTAGGCTGTAGTGGGGTAGCCCATATGGGGTACAGCCCAATTAGGGTTTACTACTTGTACTCCTGCATGCTGCTAGTTCATTCATTCCTGCTGCTAGATTCTGACAAAAATTACCCCAACGGCGTTATTCGCGGCCAATGTGGGATCGACAGGTCAGGGTAGGCTTGTAACGGCTCGAAGGTGATAGGGTAACCGCTGACAGGGTAACCGGTTGGGATGGGATAGATGAATGACTGATGGGGTCTGCCACGATGGATTCTACCACAATGACTGGTTGGATCTGCAAGTGCAACGGCTTGTTGCTATAAGCTGTAGATCGCTGGTCAAGGGGAGGAGAGGGGTTAGGGTGGTTTGGGGGGGGGGGAGGGAAAGGGCGTGGGGGAGGGGGGGGAGGGGGGGGGGGGCTTTGTTGCAGGGTAAGGAACTGCAGCTACTGGTTACTTAGCAAAGTGTTCGTTCGAAGTGCTACGTCATTCCACTGCTTGTGGAAATCTGTGGTCAGATGCTTACCACCAGCCTTGGTTGACTGTGTTGTTCAGCATACCAGGATGTGTAATGTTAGATCAAAACTGGAATTTCTGCACCAGGTTTTCCACACCACCACACAAGCCACTAAACCACTGATTCTGTTGAAGTTGAGTCTACGATCACATGTAGTGTAGTGTAGCCACTCAAAGGTACAGGTACCACAGCAGCTCTCAACATGGCCTCTGAACCTTACATCATCTACCCAGGCCAGCAACCGTAGCGATACCGTATATCCAACCCACCCAACACATGTGACCACAGCTACCAGAGGAACAGAGTCAAATACCATTATCCCAGCATCACATACGGTACCCCCAGAGACACACATCCATAGTGGCAAGGAAAGTCAATGCTCCAGTGCTAACCCGAGCAGACAGTCACAACAGGAGGGAGAGAGGGTCACGTCACCCTCCTGAGAGAAGGAGCCCCAACAATGTTCAGTTAGTAGGGGCGGGGCCTTCCCCTGTCGAAGTCCTTTGCGGTCCGGCCCTCCCCCTCTGAAGCCTCCTCATCCTCACCCATCCTAACCCATCCTCACCCATCCACACCCATCTGAACCCTCCTCGTCCTCACCCATCCCCACCCATCCTCACCCATCCACACCAACCCTCATCCCTTATTAGTAGGGGCGCGGCCTCCCCCTGTCAAAGTCCCTGCGGTCTGGCCCCCCTCCCCCCCTGAAGCCTCCCCCCCCCCCGAACCCCCCTCGGCCTCCTCTGAAACCTCCACTGCAATTACAGAAGGCACAGGACACATGGGGGGCACAGAACACACAACAGCACAAGGCACATGGGGAGGGGCGAGTGAATGGAACGTGCAAGGGGTGAGGAAAGGGGTAAGGGAATGAGTGAGGGAGGAGTGAGGGAGGAGAGGGGAGTGAGGGAAGGAGAGAGGGAGGAGTGAGGGAGGAGAGAGGAGTGAGGGAAGGAGAGAGGGAGGAGTGAGGGAGGAGAGAGGAGTGAGGGAAGGAGAGGGCGGACTGAGGGAGGAGAGAGGAGTGAGGGAAGGAGAGAGGGAGGAGTGAGGGAGGAGAGAGGAGTGGGGAAGGAGAGAGGGAGGAGAGAGGCAGGAGAGAGGAGTGGGAGAGGACTGGATGAGAAACAAGCGGAGGGAGGGGGAGAGCGCAGGAAGGTAAAACAATGGCAAAAAATGGGACAGCACAACACAAATAGCATAATAACAACATAAATCACCGATTCAAACACATTTTCCCCGGCATTCCCAATCCCCTGTGCCACTCAACCTCCTCTTCCCAACCCCCAATCCTCTGCCCCCTCTCACCCTAACCGCAAACCGTCAATCGCCCCCACTCGCCCTCCTCTCCACCCCGAAATACCCCCCAAACCACACAGCACCACTCACCCTCCTCGTCCGCCTCCTCCTCCCGGCCGTGGTGCTGATTTCTCCGCCATGCCCACTTTAATGGTGCTGCCGCGCAGGGTGTGCCCTGGAAGAAGGATGGGGAGAAGCGGGAGAGACGAGGGAGAAGAGACGAGACGGAAGAGAGGCAGGAGAGAGGGGTGGCGGTGAGATAAAACAACTGGAGAGGCGGAGGAGGCAGGAGGGGTGGAGGAGGCAGGAGGGGTGGAAAAAAACTGGAGAGGCGGAGCGGGAGCAGAGAGGTCACCAGTATTATGGCAGCAACCATAGTGAACTCACCTTCTCCACCCCTTCAACCTCTTCTGAACCCATCACCATCACCCATCACCCATCACCATCGCCCATCACCCATCATCCATCACCCATCATCCATCAGCCATCACCCATCAGCCATCACCCATCATCCATCACCATCACCCATCACCATCGCCCATCACCCATCACCATCGCCCATCACCCTTCACCATCGCCCATCACCCATCACCATCACCCATCGCCCATCACCATCGCCCATCGCCCATCGCTCATCACCCATCACCATCGCCCATCACCCATCACCATCGCCCATCACCCATCACCATCGCCCATCACCCATCACCATCGCCCATCAACCAGCCACAAGCGCCCAGCTCACCGTTGAAAAAGCCACCAGCGCTGTGGGCGGCCTGCGGGTCCTCGTAAGTCAAAACACCACCGTCAGGACGCCGTCGCCCTTGTTCTGCCCCCTCTCGCCACTAGCACTCAACCCCTAACTCCCAGCCACAAGCACCCAACGCACCGTTGAAGAAGCCACCAGCGCTGTGGGCGGCCTGCGGGTCCTCATAGGTCAAGACGCCGTCGCCCTTGTTCTGCCCCCTCTCGTCCGTGTAGAGCTTCACGTTGAACGGCCACTGGTCCTTGTACCCGCGCTTCTGCTTGATGCGCGCGATCTGGGGGAGGGGGGGAAGGGAGAGGGGGAGGGGGGAGGGAGATAGGGCGGGTGGTGTGGTGTGGGTATAGGGTGAAGGGTAAGAGGCAGAGAACATTGGATGTGGAGGGGAGGGGAGGGGAGGGGAGGGGAGGGGAGGGGAGGGGAGGGGAGGGGAGGGGAGGGGAGGGGAGGGGATGGGAGGGGAGGCGAGGGGAGGGGAGGGGAGGGGATGGGAGGGGAGGCGAGGGGAGGGGAGCGGAGGGGATGGGAGGGGAGGCGAGGGGAGGGGAGCGGAGGGGAGAGGGGTGGCCAAGGAATGGTTGAAGTTATCACAGGTCAACACTTTGCTGTGCCAGCTATCGAAGTGCTATCAAAATGATATCAAATGGTTATCACGCATGGACCGGCCATTGGCCCTTGTACACTAATGGGCGTTCACGTTTTCTTATCCTTCACGTTAGAAGAAAAAAGAGAAGGAAAAAGAAAATGCTAGTTCGTTTCTTATGGCAATCGGCCTATGTGGTACAGTGATTTGAATAATAAAACCCCTCCTTTCATCCCTCAATCCGAAACCCTCCACTAACCCCCTATCTGTTACTTCATCACTACTAAGCCCCTCGACAAACCTCACCATCCCTCACCACCGCTCACCATCCCTCACCGCTCACCATCGCTCACTATCCCTCACCACCGCTCACCATTCCAATTCCGCCGAACAGGTTGCACAGCTCGTCAACAGTCACGTCCTTGGGCAGCCCGGAAATATAAATGCGCGCATTGTCGCAATCCGGGGGGCAATTCTCGTCGCACTGCTTCACCCCCGGCGCTCCCCCTCCGCCCCCGCCCCCACTGTCGGCCCCGCCATCGTCCCCATATCCCCCTCCTCCCCCGTATCCCCCGCCCGCGGATCCCCCTCCCCCTCCGCCACCGCCCCTGTCGTCCCGCGCGTAGTCCCCCCCACCGCGCCCGCCATAATCTCCGCCTCCCCGGCCCCCATCCCCGCGCCCCCCGTCGCGGTCCCCTCCGCGGGACCCGTAATCCCCGCCGCGCCTGTCATCTCCCCCGCGCCTATCGTCCCCCCTTCCCCTGTCATCTCTCCCGCGGTCATCCCCCCTCCCCCTGTCATCCCCCCTGCCCCTATCGTCGCCTCTGCCTCCCCCGTAGCGATCTCCCCCCCTGTCGTCGCCTCTCCCCCCACCGTAGCGGTCCCCGCCCCTGTCGTCGCCTCTCCCTCCCCCGTAGCGATCACCCCCCCTGTCGTCTCTTCCGCCGCCATACCGATCATCCCGCCCGCCGCCGCCGCCCGCGTCGGCGGGGCGCGCGGTTCCGCACTTGAAGCACTCGGCGCGGCGGGCAAAGTTGTTGTTACCGCAACTTCAGCGGGAAGAAGCAGGAAAGGGGAACGGGGAACGGGCGAACGGAGGATGGGGAACAGGGGAACGGGGGAAGGGGGAATGGAGAACAGGTTAGCGGAGTAAGGGGAGCACGAAAGGGCAACAGACGGCCGAGGGAACGGGGTGTGGAAAACGGGGAAAAGGGAAAGCGGAACGGAGAACGGGGAACAAGTGAAAACGAGGTGAGCCAAGTAGTGACTCTAATGAAAACGGGAAACCCACGCAGTTCTATGCACAGACATCGTGATTCAGAACAACTATAATCACAACTACGAATAATCATACGCTACGGTACGGCTGCAACTTCACTGTAGTCACCAGGAAACACTCACCCCGGGCAATCCCAGTCACCGGGCCTGGGGGGCGGGGCACCGCGGCCGCCTCCTCCGCCATACCCTCCCCCTCCGCCTCCGCCGTAGTCTCCGCCTCCGCCGCCCCCGCCAGGGCGCGCGGTGCCGCAGCGGTTACACTCGGAGCGACGTGCAAAGTTGTTGTTACCACATCTGCGAAGAACAAAACCACAGGCGGAGACGACGGCGAGAGGTTGAAGGAACGGGATGCAAGAGAGGAAGGACGGTTAAGAGGCTTGAAAGATAGCACAACGAACATATTATACAACGAAAAAAAGAGACAGGCCGGAAGCGGATCACGGGTCGAACAGACGGGGTAAACGCGTCCAAGCCTACCTGATTTAAATTGAGCAAATTCGAGCAGACCACCCGGGAAACGTCCATGCAACCAAAAACCTTTCGCCAACCCATGCGACAGTCGCCATAGCGATGCGAACACCACGTTACAGATTCGAGCCACGACCGGCATAGGAGGTGGTGGTGGGTACTAAAAAGCTAAGGGCGGTCCGTACGATGGGTTCGGGCACAGCCAATCACCGTCGCCTCGACCTCCTCCTCCTCGTCCGCCGAACCCTCCGCGACCCCCGCCTGGGCGGATTGACCGCGGATTCCACGCCATGAAAATAACGGAGTAAGAATGACATGTTGAAATAAACCGGGGTACACAACAATGGGAAAAGGAAATGCCAATTAACATACATATGCAGCAGATCTGATGTGTAGACAGTAATACAATCCAGGAATAATAGCCTCTCAAAAGTAATAGCTATATGAATAACTTTGGGCTTTCCGATGCACACAGAAAGAGGGTTATCTTACGAAGGAGAATTTGCTAACAGCTTGATATCTTACCTCCGCCATACCCGCCTCCCCCTCCATATCCCCCTCCTCCTCCTCCTCCTCCACCACCCCCTCCACCGCCGCCGTCGCCGTAGCCCTGGTAATCGTACCCAGACATCGCTGCTGACCGATGAAACGGCTGTGTGCGATAGATGCTAGAATCAGTTACCCACAGCTCGTCAGTGAACCACACCCCAACTACTAACAGACGCACTTCACTAGATCAGGATCAGGCAGCACCATCGATGTCTCTTGATCCTAGGATGTTGCTTCTGGTTTGGGTAGGCTAGAAAATTCTTGATCTGAATCACCCCAATCTGATCCCCTTTCAGACTGACATAGGCATTCTCCCGCCAGGTGTGCAGCACACCGATTGGGTTTCGGGATTCTGGGATTTGTCAGATGGCAGGTTGGGACTGGTAGTGGGGTTTGTGGTTGAAGTCTTGGTGCAGAAATCGTGTTATGATAACGGCGGTGCTGAATTTTTGGGCCACGCTATTTCTGTAACGACGCGATGTTTATCGCGTATTCTGGAACATTGTTGCTGAGACATGGTGGTTACGAAGCAGCAACCTGACAGTTTTGTAATTTTGCCAACAGTGCGTACGGAAACGCACTGAACCGTCCATTTTGTTCGAGTTGCCGCAGACCTGACCGTCACCCACTGGCAAGGACTGGCATGGTATTGCGAAGGACCCCGTGTAACGGTTTTCGCCAAGAAAAACCCTCGTTGTACTTGTCGGCAGCAGCCGTGCGAGATGAACGGCGAAACATCCCAAAACGCACATGCAGGTTTCATGCGTATCGCAGGTCATGGTCGTTTGTCACATATCACCCTCCATCTCCTGCTAACTGGGGCATGTGCTTTCCGTTATGAAGTGCATCGACGTCGTTAGCAGCACGAGTGAATTCGCGAAACTGGAAACCCGGTTCGACTGAATACTCCCTGACATTCGTGCCATGAACAGTGTCGTGGGGCTTGCGATGGGCAGAATCTATGGGGTCGTTGACATTTCTTCTGCTCTTTTACACCCACCAAACCAGGGATCAGTGCATGCTTGTTCCCCAAACCTCTCCGCGTGGGGAGAGTGCAGAGGGGGAGGGCGGTGAGCGTTCAGTTTGTCAGTGGGAAAGCGCGGCAGGGAACGGCGGGGATGTGCTGAGTGTGCTGAGATGCGCTAGTGGTGTTCGCAGCTCGCATGGCGAAGCGATTGCTGCACGCATGCACTGCTGCCCTCCGACCAACCACGCGCGTCATCGCACTTCAAGCCGCGCTGGCTCCTCCGCATCTCCTTCCCCCTGTTCCTCCCCATGTGCTGACACCGCCCTCTGACCGTCCGATCTCCGACCAACAAAACCAGCCCGCCACTCCCGCACAGCAACCACCCCCCACCACATCGAACCTCGAGCCGCATCCGCCAAATGCGCCAATTGCGCCCCCCACAAAAAGGCTGTCCCAGCATAAAAGGCTCAGTCAGTCGAAGCTGTCACCAGCCATCTCACTTCACACGAACCAATTTTCCTCGCTCGACATACAGGCGCTAGTGTCGCGCACCTCGAGATCATACAACGCAAATCACGCTTGGAACTAACAGCCTTGAACTTCACCACATTTCGAAACTTGCAGGCTAGACTCGTGGCGACTTCGAAGCCTACTCGTTAGAAGCTTTGATCGGTCAGTGACGCGCAAGATTATCGCAATGAGGATCACTCGGCTGCTTCTCGTCTCTCTCCTCCTGGCTCTTCTTCTCGCCACCAGTAAGCCCCCTCCGCTGAGGTTCCACTTCCTCCGTTCAGGAGGACCTTCGTTTTCGCATCTGATGTAACCGTCTGTCGCTGACCGCAGGAAAAGCACGTCAAATTGATTTGTCAGTTGACTCGCAAATCAATCACATTTGTACTTCCTTCTTGCCCATGTGTCAGGTGTGCTCGGAAAGAAGGACGGCGGTGAAGGCGGCGGCAACGGGAATGGCGGTGGCAAGGGGAAGGGCGGCGGCAACGGGAAGGGCGGTGGCAAGGGTGGCGGAAAGGGCGGCGGAAATGGCGGCGGCAACGGGAAGGGCGGAAAGGGAGGGGGGTGGAAAGGGCCTAGTTTCGGAAAAAAGGGAAAGAGCAAGATCGTGGGAGCAGCGTCGGCAACGCTTCGCGGAGAAGAGGTGGTGGATGCTAACGGGAACGTGATCGGCGATAGAAACGCCACAGGGGTCATTGATCTCGTGCTCGTCCGGTAAGAATAATTCCCCCCCAACACCCCCCACCCTCCTTTATTTTTGTCAAGTTTCCGGGAATGGGGATGGGAGCGGGGGAAAAGGGAAGGGGGACCCATTCATCTCGTGTGCTCGTCTGGTGAGAACTCTCACGTGCTTGACGGAGTTTCCTAGGTTCGCGGATGGGAAAGGGGTTGGGATGAGGAGGGGAGGAACAAATCAGTATTTTATGGCTTTCGCTGGTCGTTTGACCACGAGTGCGAATCCGCCTTACCCCTGTCCGTCTTGTTACAGGAACGACACCGTCTACGACCTCCACTTTCAAGTCGGCATCGCGCTGACGGATTCCGGCGAGCCGACGTCCGTCACCGTCAACGAAGGAGCCGAAGGAACTAACGGAAACGTGGTCATCGACTTGACGCAAGACACCACTTGGACGAACACCACCGGGAATGCCGCGGCGGGCCCGCGCTACGGCCGGAAGAAGAAGGGCTGGGGTTGGGGAGGCCGCATGTTCCGCGGCCGAGACAACTCCCTGAGGGACATGTACACATATTACACAAGGGGAGTAATTCGTGACGCATCGTCGCGCACTAATGACCAGGGCGACACGTACTTAGTGGCCATGCAGAACCTTCTGGACTCGCCCGATTCGTATTATGGACTCGTTAAGACTGACACATATCCCGAAGGCGCGGCACGGGGGCAGTTCAGGAAGGGGCCTAAGGGATGGGGCGTGTGGCGGAACCGCGGGTTCTGCTTTAAGTTCAACTGCTGATGTTTCCGATCCAGCTGGTTGAAGCTACAAACGGTACGATAGGCAGCGGGACCGCGTCGTTCTAGGTTTGTTCCTTGAAGAAAAAGCTGGTGGACTGCTAGCTTTGGCATGTATTCATCTTCGTTGAGGAGAGCCCCCTTAGCGTGTTCGCATACGTCAACTTTGGTGAACAAAACTTGTACAGATTTTTGGCGTTCAGCATGTAAGAATATTTATATAACGGATTTTGTTTTACGCCCGAATTACTGACACCCGCCACCCGAAAGGGTGCCTCAAAACGGAGAGAAAGGACTGCCCGTGAGAGATCAACAGGAGACATCCCAAAACGCACATCCAGGTTTCACGCGTTTCGCAGGTCATGGCCGTTTGTCACATCTTTCCCCAGTCACTGTCGCAGCCCTTTACGACAGCATGGCGTTGTTACATGAGCATCATGCGTGCATTCACGAAATGGGAAACCATGTTCGCCTGCATAACCAACGACGCGATGCGATGAACAGTCGCGTGGTTTGCGATGAACAGAAGTCATGTTACAACAACAGTAGCTCCACAACCCACCGACCAGTCCGCTACAGTACAAAATTTTGCTGACTCGGAAGGTTTTCCGAATTTATCTGCCCTGAATATTTCGGATGTGAGGAAGCAACCTCGTTCCACCATGTTCTGACGAAGCGGGCCAGCTGTTTCATTTTCTTTCACTCATCAAGAGAAGTCGCTGCAAGGGTGACACTTTTCATGCTGAATGTGCGCCAACAGTGCCAGCTGCTACGGCGGATTGCTGCCCGCAGTGCTGTACTCCTGCCCTCCGACCAACCAAAACGCGTCCCGCGCTGATTCACTGCACTTCACGCTGGCTCTCGTCTCTCATCCCCCCCACCTGCAACAACTGCCCTCCGACAGCGAGTCTCCGACCAACCATTTTCCCCCGAACCAAACACATCCCCCCAATTTCCCCCCCAACCAAACCCACCCAATTCCGCACAGCCACCACCCCCACCACATCAAACCTCGCGCCGGGCGCGGCCCTTGCGCCCGTCTCGCCCCTCAAATCAAGGCCAAGCCCATCACTTGAGATAATAAAACGTCCCCTCAATCGAAGCTACCAACACTTGGCTCGGTCCATCTAGACTTTTCTCAGAACGCAACACAAGAACGTACATCGTCCACCTCAAGAGCGCACATTTACGAATTCCTGTGAACTTACTGGCCAGACTCGGCGTTTTCGGAGTCGACTCGTTAGAACTCCGCTCCATATTTGACATTGACGCACAAGATTATCGCAATGAGGATCACACGGGTGCTTCTCGTGTCTCTTCTTTTGGCCCTTCTCCTAGCCACCAGTAAGCTCCCTCCATTCTGGTCCCGCTCCCTCCGCTATGGTCCCGCTCCCTCCGCTATGGTCCCGCTCCCTCCATCGAGGTCCTTCGTTCTCGAATCTAACATAAGTGTTTGTGTGCGCTTCTCTTGCCCGTGCCTCAGGTGCGCTTGGAAAGAAGGACGGCGGTGACGGCGGCGGCAAAGGCGGCGGAAAGGGCGGCGGAAATGGCGGTGGAAATGGCGGCGGAAACGGCGGCGGAAAAGGCGGCGGAAAGGGAGGTGGATGGAAGGGACCGAAATTCGGAAAAAAGGGGAAGGGCAAGATCGCGGGAGCGGCGTCCGCGACGCTTCGCGGAGACCAGGTGGTGGACTCTAGCGGGAACTCGATCGGCGATAAGGACGCCACAGGAGTCATCGATCTCGTGCTCGTCCGGTAAGAAAAAACCTTGCGCGATTGAAGCTGTCTTTTTATTTAGACGAATCAATCTCATGCTCCCTCGGTAAGACTTACCCCTGTTCGTTGGACAGTATTTTTGGTGGTGGGGATGGAGAGGGGTGGGGCAAATTTAATATTCGACGCTTTCGCGCTTCGAGAACGAATCGTTCCGACCTTTGTTTGGTACCTCCCATCTCTGTCCCGCGTTACAGGAACGACACCGTTTACGATCTGTACTTCCAAGTCGGCATCGCGCTGACGGATTCCGGCGAGCCGACGTCCGTCACCGTCAACGAAGGCGCCGAAGGAACTAACGGAAACGTGGTTATGGACTTAACGTCAGACATCACGTGGACGGACACCACTGGGAAGGCCGTGGCAGGTCATCGCTACGGTCAGAAGAAGAAGGGCCGCGGTTGGGGGCGGGGCTTTTTCGGCGGCGGCAAAGACAACTCCCTCGGCAATTTGAACTCGTATTACTCTAGGGGAGTGATTCGCGACGCGTCGTCGCGCACTAATGACCAGGGCGACACGTACTTAGTGGCCATGCAGAACCTTCTGGCCTCGCCCGATTCGTACTACGGGCTCGTTAAGACTGCCGCGTATACTGAGGGCGCGGCACGGGGGCAGTTCGTGAAGGGGCCTCTTGGATGGGGCGTGTGGCGGAATCGGGGTTTCTGCTTCAACTGTGTCTAAATGCGGAACCAAGGGGCTGCGAAGTTGTGTCGTTCTAGGTGGGTTTTCTTCTAAAACACATTAGGGCGTGTATGGGTAGTTGCGGGGTGTTTTGTCTTCGTTAAAAAGAGCCGGCTTAGCAGGGTTAGATGGCTGTGTACAGATTCTGTTACATGCATACAATAATTTATTACGGTATTTAAACCAAGATTGTAATGGTGTGGTGCACCATTCTGGTGTGAATCCAACCTGGGGAAACTCACAAGAATGCAGCATTCTGGTAGGTTGCTAGTTGGTACGGGTATCTGTGAATGGCTCATTTAAAATCTCCAGCAACTTTGTCAAATACCTTACATTAGGTCCATTGCTCTATTTTCAGAACTGCATGTACCGTATGTTGTCGTCGCCTCAAAATGTCAACCAAGATGCATTACAGCGTCATATACGGTACTCTGTCAGACAGTTCACTCACTCTGCTACAGAAAAAACGATGGGTCCAATCCTTGATGAAAACATCTTGCTCAAAGCTACCTGAATCTCTGGCGATCCATGCTCGCTGCTAACCAAATCCGCAAGCAACGGGAAGAATCGCGCCAGGTGCTTCTTAAACGCTGCGTCCTTCAATGCGGTAACCGCCTGCAGCGTGGCCACCACCAGCGGCGCCCGAGCCACCAGCTCCCGGCGCCGAGCCGAGCCGAGAGGTACGGCGAGAGGAATGGGAGGGAGGGGTGGGGCATCTGCACCTCTTGGGTCCTCGGTCATGAGAGCTAGCTTGCCCTGAGACGTTCCGACATACACCTGGAGAGTGAAAGGATAGAGGGGGAAAACAGAGGGGGGGAAGGGCGATCAATGGAGTGCACATGAACAGTGTCGATGGGGTGAGGAAGGCAACAGGGGGAGGAGAGGGCGGAAGGGGAGGGGGGAGAGGGGGGGAAGAAGGGAGGTTGAAGGGAGGGAAATGTGTATCTGAGTCTCCAGTGCCTCACTCTCTAGCCACAGCAGCGGCGGGTCGGGCATCTGAGTGGCCAAGTGGAGGGCATGCAGGCGTGGAGTCCACCTACATTCCACACACAGAAATACCCCCTAAGGAAGAGAAAGGGGAGAAGGAGAGAGAGAGAGAGAGAGGAACGTACCCGAAGCACCTCTTCACAGAGAATCACAAGCCTCAGTTCAACATCCACTTCCTTAGCCAGCTGGGCCTTCTACCATGGCAGGCGCTGCAGCAGGCTGAGATACGCATGCAGCGCCTCACTCTCTTACCTACCTTCCCCGCACAAAGCAATACTGTTCTTTTGGACAAAAAAAACAAGGAAGCACGCACCCGAAGGACAAGGCGCAGAGGATGACAAGGCGCAGCTCCACATCCACTTCCTTAGCGAGCTGCGCCTTCTCCGGCGGCAGGCGCTGCAGCAGGCTGAGATACGCGTGCAGCGCCTCACTCTCTAGCCTACCTTCCCCGCACAAAACAAACCGACCCTTCTGGAGAAAGAAACAAGGAGGCACTCACCCGGAGAACAATTATGCATAGGATGAGATGACAAGCTGGAGCACTCACCCGAAGGACTTCTTCACAGAGGATGACAAGCCTGAGCTCCACGTCTACTTCCTTGGCCAGCTGTGCCTTCTCCCGTGGCAGGCGTTGCAGCAGGCTGAGGTACGCGTGCAGTGCCTCACTCTCTAGCCTCAGCAGAGGCGGGTCGGGCATCTGAGTCGCCAGGTGGAGGGCTTGCAGGCGCGAGCGCAGGAGACGGTCTGAGTTGATGGCGTGCGCGTGCGTGCCGACTCGGTGGAGCGAGTCGAGGAGGATGAGGGTGTGCGGGGCGGACAGGGCTGAGCCGTGCATGCTGAATATCTCAGTCATTGCCTGGTGGGACAGGAATAGGAAGGAGGGGAGCAGGAGGGCGGGGAAAAAGGGGAGTTTCACTGTCATTTCCTGGTGGCAGATGGCTTTGAGTGGTGCAAGTAAGCGGGCTGGCAGGGTGGGGAGGAGCGCAGGAGACGGTCGGAGTTGATGGCGTGGGCGTGCGTGCCGACTCGGTGGAGCGAGTCGAGGAGGATGAGGGTGTGCGGGGCGGACAGGGCTGCGCCGTGCATGCTGAATATCTCCGTCATTGCCTGGATGGGAACGAGAAGGGGGATTGCGAGGAAGGGGGCAGGAGGGAGGGGCTATTATTGCTCCCTGGTGAGATATGGCCTCAAAAGCTGCCTGAAAGGGACAAGAGGAGCGAAGGAGGCTTGCCTACACACAGTAAGCAGAAGGCTTACCTGCACGAGCAGCAGCTGCACTGCAATCTTGCACCGCACATCCGCCACAGATTCTGCCAACAAGGTGACTTATGAGTCGACTCGACGAGCGTTTAACTGCACCAGCAGCAGAAGGCTCACCTGCACGAGCAGCAGCTGCACTGCAATCTTGCACCGCACATCCGCCACAGCTTCTGCCAGCGACATCGGTCTCGTAACCTCCACTCCCCCTTCCTCTCCTCCATCCACACCCCCTGCACCACCGCCACTGCCACCCCCTGCAGCAGCACCAACCGCCTCTGCAACCGCAGCAGCCAGCTGCTGATGCTGCTGCTTCTGCTCCTCCTCGTCCTCATCCCTCGTGAAATCAAACCTCCTGGCTTCCTTAATCTGCTGCTGCCGCTCCATCTCCCTCTCCTCCTCATCCTCCAAATCTGCAGCCTTCACCACACCAGCCAGATCCGGCAGGGTCGTCCCTGTCGTTTCCTTAAGGGCTGTTAGCACCTCATCCCACTTCTCCTCGGAAAACAGGCCGCCTGCGTTGCTCATGAGCCTCACAAACGCCGCCACGCCAATCGCTGCTAGGCTCTGGTGCGGCCGGCGAATGAACGAGGTCAGCAGCGCGAGAATCTTCCCTAGAAGCGGACTCACTTTACTGTAAAACTTCACAAAGAGATCCACTACAAGCTGAAGCGCTAAAGTGCAAGTCTCATACAGCCATGCATCCATCTCGAGTTCAGAAACAGGATCGGGACTCCCGCTCCTCGCCACCCGGAGCCGCTCGTCTTCTGACGTGGACGGGTGGCGGGACAGCGGCGCGCCCTTATGGTGCGAATGCTTGTGAATCGGCACATCACCTCCCCCTCCCACCTCTCCCCCTCTCCCCCCTCCAGCTACCCCTCCTGTATGCGCCTTCCCCCCTCCTTCCCCTCCTCCTCCGCCGCCTCTCTTAGCCCCCAGGACCATCCCGCCAGGCTCCCCATGCTGGGGTTCGGAGGCGCGGCGAACGTAGTCGAAGATGGGGAAGAGGACGGACTCGAAGACGCGCTCCCAGAGGGCGGCGGAGAACATGTGGCCGTGGAATCGGAGAGTGTCGAAGAGGACTTCGAGGGCGCTCTTTCTAATGTCGGGACGAGGGTCAAAGGTGAGCTCCGACAGACCTGGTGGGGTAGGGGCGTGGAGAGGGAAGGGAACAAGGGGCAAGGGAGTGAGAAAGGGAGGGGGAAGAGGACGGACTCGAAGACGCGCTCCCAGAGGGCGGCGGAGAACATGTGGCCGTGGAATCGGAGTGTGGCGAACAGGACCTCGAGGGCGCTCTTTCTGATGTCTGGCCGCGGGTCAAAGGTGAGCTCGGAGAGACCTGGTGGGGAGAGGGATCGGGGAGGAGGGAACAAGGGAGCGAGGGGGGAGAGAAGGAGGGAGGGAGTTCTGGCTGGGGGTCAAAGATGAGCTCGGACAGACCTGGATAGGAGGGGAGGAGGGTGGAGCAACGGAGCGAGGGGGTGGAGGAAGGAGGCGAGAAGTCGTCTCCTCACCAAGGTACAAACAACACATTTCGGAACCACTCAACAGGTAAGCACTCACCAGCAAGCAGCGGGAACCAGAAGTAAAGGTGATCGTCCTTGTCAGTGAATTCCTCCCCATCCGGATGCCCCGGCAGGTGCGACACCTGAGAGGGGCTCAGCCCCTTCTCCCTCTCCAGTGCACTCGCACCCAGATCCCCCTCGGCGAGCTTCAGTGCGCAGAAGCGCAGGAATGTTATCCTATCAAGGGAAACCACTGTACTCAAAGCACACATCACCTGTTGAGACGCCACCAAAAGCACTCACCAGCGAGAAGCGGGAACCAGAAGTAGAGGTGATCGTCCTTGTCGGTAAATTCCTCCCCGTCGGGATGCCCCGGCAGGTGCGACACCACCCCCTTCTCCCTGAGCGAGACCTTTATCTAGGGCACACACCACTTGTTCAGCTAATTTCATAGGCACTCACCAGCAAGGAGCGGGAACCAGAAGTAGAGGTGGTCGTCCTTGTCAGTAAACTCCTCCCCATAGGGATGCCCCGGCAGGTGTGACACCTGAGAGGGGCTCAGTCCCTTCTCCCTCTCCAGTGCACTCGCCCCCAGGTCCCCCTCAAGATCATTTTGAGCCAACACGGGCACACAACACATTCCGAGTCTACTCAACAGGCACTCACCAGCGAGAAGCGGGAACCAGAAGTAGAGGTGGTCATCTTTGTCCGTAAACTCCTCCCCATCCGGGTGCCCCGGCAGGTGCGACACCTGAGAGGGGCTCAGCCCCTTCTCCCTCTCCAGTGCACTCGGGCCCGGGATACACCATCAAGTGCGTTTTGAGTCGACTCAAAGGTCATCTCCCCACCAAGGTACACACAACACATTCCGAGTCCACTCAATAGGAAAGCACTCACCAGCGAGCAGGGGGAACCAGAAGTAGAGATGATCGTCCTTATCTGTGAATTCCTCCCCATCGGGATGCCCCGGCAGGTGCGACACCTGAGAGGGGCTCAGCCCCTTCTCCCTCTCCAGGGCACTCGCCCCCAGGTCCCCCTCGGCGAGTTTAAGAGCGCAGAAGCGCAGGAACGCTATGGCGTTAAGGGAGACATCTTTATTGAAGCGCGAGTTGGTGAAGGCGATGAGGCAGTTGACGCAGTCTGTGAAGGTGGTGGTTTCGGTCTCGGTGATGTAGGGGAAGTACTCCCGCACGACCTTCTCGATTGTCTCGAATGCGAGAAGGACGATGTTCTTGTTGTCGTCCGTTGCTGCTGTGGTGAACACCTGTGTGGAAAGACAGACAGGGACATTGGAAGGAGAGCATAGAAAGGTATTGAGGTGTTTCAAAGTAACCCTCTGTTTATACCCCTCTCTCCTGCCCCATTTTCTGATCCTCCATCTTCATCCCAAACCTGATCCTCCATACGGACCTGGCATTACCCATGTGCGCAATCACTTGTAAGTCGACTCCTCCTCTGTTCACAACTTCACTACCCCCATCCTCCGACTCACCATGAACATGATTTTCCATCCGGACTTGACGTTCCCCACGCGCGCAAACACCATCTGCGACACGCAGCGAATAATCAACTCCCGGATCTCCACGCTCGCCGTCCTCCGCATCACCACCACAAACGGCTTCAGAAACTCGTTCTGGAAGTTGTAGTTGCGCAGCTCCTCCCCCTTCCCTTCCGGCCCCCGTTCCCCCATTCCACCGTTCCCCCCGTTCCCCCTGATCTCCTCTTTCAACCGGCCCCACCCATCCCGTATCTCACCATGAACATGATTTTCCATCCGGATTTCACATTCCCCACGCGCGCAAACACCATCTGCGACACGCAGCGAATGATCAGCTCCCGGATCTCCACACTGGCGGTCCGCCTCATCACCACCACGAACGGCTTCAGAAACTCGTTCTGGAAGTTGTAGTTGCTCAGCTCCTCCCACCTCCTCCTTCCGACCCCCATTCCCCCGTCCCATTCCCCCGTTTTTCCGTTCCCCCTTTCCAACCGGCCCCACCCATCCCCTGACTCACCATGAACATGATTTTCCAGCCGGATTTCACGTTCCCCACGCGCGCAAACACCATCTGCGACACGCAGCGAATAATCAGCTCCCGGATCTCCACACTCGCAGTGCGCCGCATGACCACCACAAACGGCTTGAGGAACTCGTTCTGGAAGTTGTAGTTGCTCAGCTCCTCTCGCTCCAGGAACTTCATGGCGAGCTGGCGCAGGCTGTCGATGGCATACATGGCCACTGAGAGGTTCGGCATGCATCCCACCGTTACAAAGTAGTCTGCAAGAACGGCCCAGATCCGCGACCAGACGAGCCGAATGCGGCTCATGTTGAAATGGCTGGTTTGGAGGGGGGGGCAGAGGGGGGATGGGAGGGAGGACGAGGGGGGATGGGAGGGAATGAGAGGGGGCGAAAGGTGCACAAAGGGGAGGGTAGGGAAGGATTGGGGAGGGACCGAAACAATGCAGCTTATGTTGTTCAGATCCTGGGCTGCTTCAGGACCTTACAGACTCCACTACGGCCTGCCCGTCCGCTGACTTGTTGCGTGCACTCACACATTCTACCAGCACTCACGCAATCTCGACGATCTTGGTCAAGGAAAAGACCCCTGGGCTCTGTGGGCGAGCGCAGCTCCTCCAGCGACACCTTGCAGAGGGCTTTCACGAACTCCACTATGGCCTGCCCGCTGAGGAATTGCCCCTTCGAAGGTGCATTCAAGGGGGGGAAAAGCTTACACGATCTCGACGATCTTGGTTAAAGTGAAAACCCTGGGTTCGTTGGGCGAGTGCAGCTCCTCCAGAGGCGCCTTGCAGAGGGCCTTCACGAACTCCACTATCGCCTGCCCACTGAGGCTGTTGAGCTGTTGCCTCTAAGGTACTTCCTAGGGGGAGAGCACTCACGCAATCTCGACGATCTTGGTCAAGGAGAAGACTCTGGGTTCTGTGGGCGAGCGCAGCTCCTCAAGTGACACCTTGCAGAGGGCTTTCACAAACTCCACTATTGCCTGCCCGTTGAGGCGCTCGCTGCGGGAGAAGAGGCGCGAGACCTCGTCCGAGCCCACCTGCTCCAGCAGACCCAGGTTAGCCACCAGCAGCTGCACCTGTAGTTGTGCAGGTGACAAAAAGTTGGAAATGAGGGAAGAGGGAGTGGGGTTAGCGAAGTTACATTTGGTTAAAGAGACCTTGTCTGATCCCACCTGCTCCAGCAGACCCAGGTTAGCCACCAGCAGCTGCACCTGTGGTTGTGCAGGTGACGATAAGGGGGAAATGAGGGAAGAGGGAGCATGGTTAAAGAGACCTCATTAGACCCCACCTGCTCCAGCAGACCCAGGTTCGCCACTAGCTGCTGCACCTGTGATTCAGAAAAGCGGAGGGGAAATGTGGGAACGGGAATCGGGAGCAGAAAAGTGGGTATATGGTATCTCACATAATATACCCCTGTCAGCCCTGCTATCTGGCAGCACAGGGAACTGACTTGGGGAGCGACATGAAAGAGAGACGCATCTGTTCCCGTCTTCCCACGCCTGTGGCTGCAACATACATCTCACATGGGCTAGCCCCATCTGGCTTCTCTGTTAAAGGAGTGACCTGGTCGGGGGAGAGGTGCGAGAGGGACACGCCCACACTCACCACTGTGGCTGTTACTGGCATTTCACATTGCCTTGCCCTGCCATCGCTGATTGTTCTGGCCTGGCAACAAACGGGACTGACCTGGTCGGCGGAGAGGTGCGAGAGGGACACGCCCACGCCCACCCCTGTGGGTCCTCCGGCGATCATTCCCTGCGGGTCGTATGACCCCCGCCTCACGAGCTTCTCCACCTGATTCAGCTTCCCGGATACCTGGGGGTATTAGAAAGGAGGGAAGGGATAGGGAGGACAAGCAGGCAAAAAGCGGGGGGAGCAACGTCTCATGAGTCGTACGAGCCTCGCCTCACTAGCTTCTCCACCTGGTTCAGCTTCCCGGACACCTGAGAGAAGAGGGGAGGAGAAAGGGTGAATGAGGTTGAGCTTTTATATTTGAAACATTGCTGGACCTATCAACTTTGTTGCACCAGCATCTCCAACTCACTGAGCATGTCGGTAGCTGGGGTAGGGGGGGAAGGGGGAAAGGGAGGTAGGGAGAAAAGGGAGATTGAGATGCCTTACGGTTGTATGACCCTCGCCTCACTAGCTTCTCTACCTGGTTGAGCTTTCCGGATACCTGGAGGTTGGGGTGGGAGGGGGAGGGAGCGAGAAGGCAGGCAGGGAGGGAGGGAGGGGACGGAGACCAAGTGTCATGAGTCGTACGACCCTCGCCTCACTAGCTTCTCCACCTGGTTGAGCTTCCCCGATACCTGGTGGAGGAGACGAGGAGGGGGGGAAGGGAAGGAAGGGAGAAAGGGAGGAGGCGAGGAGGGGGCAAGGAAAGAGGGGAGGAAGGGAGGAGGGGATGAGGGGAGGAACGGTGATGGGGAAGGGAGAGGAGGGAGCGACAAGAGACCAGTTTGCTGGTAACATCACTGGATCACAAATGTACATACATATCGCAACTCTGCAAAGCGGAGGCTGATCGAGTATCACTTCAAACTCACATTCTTCCACGCGGGAGCCTCGCCTCCCTCGCCAAACCTCTTCGCCTGCCCCCGCGGAGTCCCAGCATCCCCCGCACTCCCCCTCTGCGCCCCCGCACCCATCTCCCTCTGCCCCCCAACCGCCCCACGCCCCTCTCCAGCCCCATACACCGACGCGGCCACCCCCCTCCCCCCGCCCCTCTTCCCCTGCGGGTCCAGGGGCTGAGGGCGCTGCTGCTGGGTGAGCGGGGGGAGCTGCGGAGCGGCAGAGAAGAAGTGGGAGTCGGTGGGGGCGCCCTCGCCGATGAGGTGGAGGTGCTCGTAGCGCGACACGCAGGTTAGCACGTGCTCCCACGCGTCCTGCAGGTAGTTGCCATCGTCCTCTGCTACTAGCAGGAGGGACTGGACCAGGGAGGGTTGGGGTTGGGGGGGAGAGCAGGGAGGGGAATGCAGAAAGAGGAAGGGGAATGGGGGAAGGGGTGAAGATGGGAGGCGAATTGGGTGGTGGTGTTTGAGAGAGGGTGACTGGCAGGAAGGAGGCGGAGAAGAAGTGGAAGTCGATGGGGGCGCCCTCGCTGACGCACGTGCTCCCATGCGTCCAGCAGGTAGTTGCCATCATCTTCCGCTAACAGCTCACCCATCTGACACACCCACCCATCCATCCCCCCACCTCACCCACCCACCTGACACACCCACCCATCCATCTCCCCACCTCACCCACCCACCTGACACACCCACCCGTATACCCCTCCACCCCACCCACGTACCTGACACAGGTCCACTCATAATACACCTGCACAAGCCCACCCACCCATCCACCCACCCACCCGACACACCCACGCATCCACCCACCTTGATCGCATCCACGTTCTTCTGCTTGATGTCCGCTGCGGAGTGCAGCGACGTGAACTGCTGCAACCTGACTCATGATAAACCTAGACAAGCCACCCCACCCCATCCCACCCCACCGAACCCAACCCCACCACAACCAACCCCACCACACCCCACCCCGCCCACCCACCTTGATGGCGTCCACGTTCTTCTGCTTGATGTCTGCTGCAGAGTGCAGCGACGTGAACTTGGCCAGAGACGTCACAAACGCATCGCGTTGCATCTGAAAGGCCGGGCAGCAGGGTGGTGGAACAAGGAAAGGAGGTCGATGAGGAGCAGATAGAGGACACTTGAGATCTTCTAGAAGCCACATTCCGCTGCCTCACATCTGCATGCCTCTCACGTGCATTGCCTCTCACGTGCATTGCCTCTCACATGCATCCTAACTTCCTGCATGCCCAGTCACAGGTAAGCTGTGCTCTGTCACACACTGCCCCTCACATGGTTCCTACTCACATGGCTCCTCCTCACATGGCTCCTCCCTTGCACTGCACACCCCTCACATGTCCCTCAAGAGCCCCAGCCCTGCCACACCCCCCCCCCCTCACTTGCCCTCGTAAACACCCCCCTACACCCCCCCCGCACATGACCCTCATTTGCATGCCGATAACAGCCGTCGCGTGCACGGCGCATCAGAACCCCTCCAGGCACTGCTCTGTGACAGCCTCTTCCTCTGTGGTCTCCAGGGGCACATGCCTCATAGCATCCCTTCCCCCTCATTCCCCTCAGATACCCCCCACATGCCTCTCGCCTGCATGCTGATCACAGCCGTCATGTGCATGGCATATCTAAACCCGTGACAGCCTCCTCCTCTGTGGTCCCCCATACCCTCTCAACTGCACTCTAACATTCCCCCACCTCTCACCTGCATGCCAATAACAGCTGTCACGTGCACGGCATGTCGGAACTTCTCCAGGCACTGCTCTGTGACAGCCTCCTCCTCTGTGGTCACATGCCCATGCCACATGCCCCTCACTATCCCTCACACGCCCCTCACTATCCCTCACACGCCCTCTTAAATGCCTTTTCCCGTGCCCCCACCTCTCACCTGCATGCCAATCACAGCAGTGACGTGCACGGCGTATCGGAACCCCTCCAGGCACTGCTCCATGACAGCCTCCCCCTCCATGCATGCCACATGGCCCTCAATATCCCCTCCCTCTTACATGCCCTCCCAAATGCCCGTCACAGCCCTCACCTGCATGCCGATAACAGCAGTGACGTGCACGGCGTATCGGAAACCCCACCAGGCACTGCTCCGTGACAGCCTCCCCCTCCATGCATGCCACATGGCCCTCAATATCCCCTCCCTCTCACACGCCCTCCCAAATGCCCGTCACAGCCCTCACCTGCATGCCAATGACAGCTGTCACGTGTACGGCGTATCGGAACCCCTCCAGGCACTGCTCCGTGACAGCCTCCTCCTCTGTGGTTTCCAGGGGCACGGAGAAGGCGGCTAGCATGGGCGCCCACACCACGTCCACCATGGGGCGGATGATCTGCACGTCTGAGGCTGCATAATAGACGGATCTGGTGCAGAAAGGGGATGGGCGGGGCAGGAATGAGGACGAGGGTGTTGCTGAATGGAAACAGATGCTACCTTGGGCGCCCACACCACGTCCACCATGGGGCGGATGATCTGCACGTCTGAGGCTGCGTAGAAGACGGATCTGGTGGTAGAGAGGGGGTGACAAGGCAAGGGAGAAGGACAAAGGTGAGTGAAGCTGTAACTAGCATGGGCGCCCACACCACGTCACGGACGATCTGCACGTCTGAGGCTGCAAAGGGCAGAAAAGGGAGGGCACAACGAAGCAGGAAGGGTGCTTGTTGGGGGCTGAGATGCAGGATGGAGAGGTGAAGCAAGACAAAAAGTGGAAACTGCAATCAGATTTCCCCATATTGCTGCTCACCATGACCTCCTCCAGTTGCTGCTCACCCTGACTGCTCCCCATTGTTGCTCACCCTGGCTTGCCCTCCTTGGCATGGAACTGCTCCTGCATGTGTTTCACCACCTCGTCTCTCATCTCCCAACCTTGCTGCTGCTCAGCACATGCCCACGCTTACCTACTGACCTTCCCACACTGACGCTCACCCTGACTTGCCCGCCTTGGCGCGGAACTGCTCCTGCATGTGCTTCACCACTTCATCACTAGTCTCCAGCTCTGTAGTCGCCCTCGTGCGTCCCGACATGAGATTCAGAATGCTCTCCAGCCCCAGCAGCGCGTTCCCTGCTGCGCTGCTCACTGCAGCCTTGGACACCACTCCTCCCGGCCCCAGGATCTCCGGCTTCATCTTGATCTCGTTCCGTGTGATGCGGTCGTACAGCCCGCCCAGAAACTCCTCTGGGATGTCCTTCCCGTCGTCGATTCCGCGGTTGTTCTTCAGGAAGTCGGCTTTGCTCATCTAAGAAAGAGCGAGGCAGGAAGCATGAAGGGAAGGAAGGCATCGGAGGGAAGGGGGCGTGGAAGGGAAGGACGCATGAAAATCGCCACACAAAGTGCATGTGGCAGTATCAGCACACTTGGACGCCACTCCTCCCAGCCCCAGGATCTCTGGTTTCATCTTGATCTCGTTCCGTGTGATGCGGTCGTACAGCCCGCCCAGAAACTCCTCTGGGATGTCCTTCCCGTCGTCGATTCCGCGGTTGTTCTTCAGGAAGTCGGCTTTGCTCATCTGGGAAGGGAGGAAGCATGATGCATGGGTGGGAGTGGGGAATGGAAGGGAAGGGGTGTGGAAGGGGAAGAGGCGTGGTGGGAAGGGGGCGTGGAAGAAGGACGCCTGGGTTGTGTTGTGTGCGTCTGTGTTGAGCATGAAGATTGAGTACGAGAGAGAAAGCAAGCAGTAAGGCCGTATCCGCCTCCGTGACAGCTTTTTGAAGGGCCACATTACCGTAACATCACACGCACTCACCTTAGTCTTCACGCCGCACTCACCTTAGTCTTGACGCCAGGGTTATGCGCATCTGTGTCGAGCATAATGACAGAGTACGAGAGCACTTAGGCAGTATCGGCGCTGGTGAACGCCTTGGGGTGTGTCATTCGATGATGACACCTTTAAAGGCAACGCAATACTCGTACCATCACACGCACTCACCTTAGTCTTGACGCCAGGGTTATGCGCATCCGTGTTGAGCATAATGACAGAGTAAGCGAGCACATAGGCAATATCAGCGCTGGTGAACGCCTTGAGGTGTTTCATTAGATGATCACAGCACTCACCTTAGTCTTGACGCCTGGGTTATGAGCGTCCGTGTTGAGCATAATGACCGAGTACGCGAGCACATAGGCAGTATCGGCGCTTGTGAACGCCTTGGGGTTGCAGCGGCAGTAGCGCTCGGCAAACTTCTCCATGATGCGATCGATCTTCTGCGCCTCGCCTGGCAGCCTGAACCCCAGCAGCACTGCCCGAATGGCCTCGTCAAAGTCCATGCCCTGACAAGGCAATGGGGATAGACGGCAGAGGGTGGAAGGGAGAGGGGAGATGGGAGTTTGGAGGGGTGAGAGGTGAAAGGGAGAGGGCAGTAGCGCTCGGCAAACTTCTCCATGATGCGATCGATCTTCTGCGCCTCGCCAGGCAGCCTGAACCCCAACAGCACCGCCCGAATGGCCTCGTCAAAGTCCATTCCCTGAAGAAGAAGGGGAGATGAAGGTAAGGGGGAGGGGGGAGAGGGAAGAGAGGAGGAGGGCGAGGGAAGAAGAGGGGAGAGGGGAAAGGGCAGAGGGGAGAGAGAAGAGAAGAGAGGGGAGAGGGGACAGGGTAGAGGGGAAAGGGAAGAGGGAAGAGGGGATAAGGGAGATCACCCATTATCACGCTGTGCGCATCATGCACCTGCATATCACCTTTATGCATCCCACATCCCCCACTTGCAGAACGCAAGCTAGTATTTGAAAAAAGATACTGCCTTATTCACTTACAGAGAGGTTGTACGAGTCCATGTAGGCATGCATGATCTTGATGCTCATGTCGTCCCTGTCCCCGAGAAAATCTCCAATCATCGTCTTATCCAGCCCCTCTGTTTTGCGCAGAAACGCAACAATCTCCTCCGCACTCTCCCCCAGTTTCTTCGCCTTGATCAGAAAATCTATCCCCTTTTTCGGCTTCTTGTTGAACAGGTTTATCCCCTCCTGCAGCTCCAGCTTATACGCCCGCCTCTGCTCCAGAATTGCGGCTTCTGAAATCTCATTTCCACTGCTCACACCAGCCCCAGGCAATCCCCCAAGCGCCTCCTCCTCCAAAGCCTCCTCCGATTTTGCAACAGGCAACACCCCTGTCCTGGGATTCACGAAATCCGGCAGCAAATCCCCCGACAGAAGATCCGGGACCGCCACAGGAGCCGCCCCTTCCCCGCCGCCGCTGCCGCCGCCGCCGCTGCTGTTGCCGCCGCCGACGCGGCCGCCGCAGCAGCAGCAGCGCCGATTTCCGCGGCGACCTTGGGTCCAGCAGTGACGCAGAGCTGGCGGTTGGTCCAGGAGCCCATGGAGCGCAGCACGCCCACCATGCACTTGATGGCGGCCAGGCGCAGCTGCTGGTCCTGGGCCGCGTTCAGCGTTGAGTCCGCCCCGGGCGGCACTCCCTGCGCTGTCTTGAGAAGCCCGCTCACCATTCTGAGAGTAGGTTAACCCATAGGGAAGGAGTGAAGCGGGGACAGAAGGAAGAAGGGAGGGGGGATGGAAATAAGAATGAGGGGAAGGAAAGTGATGGGATTGGCTAAGCTGGCAGTTGGTCCAGGAGCCCATGGAGCGCAGCACGCCCACCATGCACTTGATGGCGGCCAGGCGCAGCTGCTGGTCCTGGGCCGCGTTTAGCGTTGAGTCCGCCCCGGGCGGCACTCCCTGCGCTGTCTTGAGAAGCCCGCTCACCATCCTGGAAAAGGTTGAGCCATGCCCCAGGAGAGAAGCGGAGGAGGGAAGAATGAAGGGTGGAGAATGAAGCAGAAAATGAGGGGAGCTGGATTTCAGGAGTTGGGGGAGGATAACAGCTGATGTGGGATGTAGGGCGGGGGATGCTAAGGGACTCTGATTCTACCCTCGACCTGATTATACCCCATCTCACCATTCAAAGATGCTGACAGTGGACTCCACGTCGCAGTCATAGTTGGCAAAGATATCCACCAGAATCTGCGAATCTACGCAGAGTCTTGAGACGTCTCAAAACACTACTTATATCATGCAGCTCACCGTTCGAAGATGCTGACAGTTGACTCCACGTCGCAGTCATAGTTGGCAAAGATATCCACCAGAATCTGCGGATCCACGCAGAGCCTCTCCAGGAACCTCAGCACGATCATCTTCTGCTGGAAGTTGGCATGAGCGACGTTTTCCAGCACGCGCAGCACGATCATGGGGAAGAAGACGCCGATCTCGGCCTTGAGGACGGAGCGGAAGCGCGTGAGGAGGGAGAAGAAGATGGAGCAGGAGAGCTGGAAGACGGACATGAGGGAGGAGGTGCAGTTCTTGAGCAGAGACAGGCACAGGTACTGCTTCACTGCGCCCACGAACCTGGCGGAAGGGAGGGATGCCAAGAGGCGGCGGAGCGTGAACGAGGGGGGTGGGAGAAGCGTTGTAAGTGCAGCAGAACCTGAAACGCACAGGTACTGCTATTCTATGCCCATGAAGCTGGCAGATGGAAAGAATGATTGCGGGGGGTGGGCGGAACTTGAACAGGAAGGGTGAGAGGGGGATGTTGAGTTGCATCAGAACATCACTGGCACTTTGTCACTGCCCCTTCGGACTTGTTGTAAAGGTGTGATAGAGGGACGAAGACGACGAGGGAGGTGTATGGAAGAGGGAGGTGGAACAAGCCTCCCATTGTTCCAGAGCCACATACGGCTCACCTCTCATTGGTGCGAAAGACAGCGCCGGAGTTCTCAAGGCAGATTTTCAGCAGCTCCAGCGAGACCACCTTGCCGCGCACGGCGAAAGGATCAACCACCCCCTCCGCCGGGGGAGCCTTCATGGACAGCTTGCACAGCGCGCGGAACACCAGGAACGCATCGCGCCGCAGCTTGTTCGTTATCTTCACCTCCGATTCGCCCTCCTTCTCCGGATCCACGTCAGGAATAATCACCCCGCCTCCCGCCATGGCTCCCGCGGGATTTCCGCCGCCATTTGCGCTGGAACCAGCGGGAACAGCGGCTACGGCGCCTGGAGGTAGCCCTATAGCGGCAGTCGCGCCGGCTTTCACGGTTACTACTTTTCCGTCTCCGCCTAACGTCTTGGCTGGGTCGGTAACTGAGCCGGCAAGCATGTTCACGTCCCAATACTTAACGTCTAGCATGTCCTTATCTTCGACTAGGCTTCCGTCGGTGGCTGCAGAGTTTATGGGTGCTACTGCGAGGTCAAACGCGCCATCGTCTAGAGATTGAGTATGCGCCGGGTTAAAAGCGACCTCGATATCCTGCACTACCTTGGTAATGAACGACTGAACGAATTGCGTTACGTTCTGGTCCGAGGCTAGCCTATCCGAGGGCTCCATTAGATCCGCGACCACGATTGGCTGAACCGGAACAGTCGACGAATCCGCTTCCATTCTCCGAAACACGATAACGAGCATCTGCGTGAGAGACGCCTTGGCTGTGGTCTGATTAACGGGGACCTTACTACCGAGGTAGATATTGTAGCAGGTGCGGACAGCTTTAAGTACGCACTCGCCGTGAACGCGGAGCGAGGTGGATGTGACGGCCGATAGCATAGTCTTCAAGACTAGTAGCTCCACTGCTTCGTCTGCTATGTCATAGCACTTGCACACGGATTCCATGACCTGCACGCGAAGAAATGCACACATTCAATCATTCATGCATGTATGCATTCGGAACGCACAGATAGGGAATTCGCGATGAAGCTTGTGTGATCTCACCATATTTACAGCCATCAAAGATTTCCGCAGCAAATTGAGGTGTCATTCCTCAACTTGAAGACTCGCTCTCGCCCTGCAATCGAATCTCTCCATTCCAACATTACCCTAACAGAAGCTATCTTACAATGAATCTTCTCGTCCTGCTCACACTTCCTACAGTCTCTCCGAGCAACATACCCGCGTCAGCAGCTTGCTTTCACGCGTGGTCCCTCCAACGTCCATTTCTCCCCGCAAATGCTGATGCGCGACCATCTTCTGAAGGCAATCCAGCGTCGGCTCGACCACCTTCGCCGCGAGCGTCTCGCACGCCGTGTGAAGCGGAGCCATGATAAACTCCGCGTCCTTAATCTTCACCACCCGGTTACCATCGTCGAACAATCCAGCCGGAAACGCTCCGCTAGAAGATCCTCCCCGTGCAGCGGATTCGTCAAAGGGATTGACGTAGCCGGGCGGGTCTTGAGCCGGAGGCTGCCATTCCACGCCTGGATTGGGATTCTTCGCGAACCATTCTATCAGGCCCTTGCAGTCTTGTACGAGCCTCTGGTGTTTACGCCATGACGCGTTTTTTATGATTTTCTCTAGCGTGGGAACCACTAGCTTGGCCAACCGACCGGGTTCGGTCTGCGGTGGCTGTTGAGTCGCCATGTGGTATAAGACGAGGAGTCACGGAACCAGACGAGGGGGGAACGGAAATACACCTAGCAATGTGACAGAAACACGAGGTCGGCGGGAATCGTGATGCCTGATAGCAACTGATCTGAGACCGAGATTAATTTTAGGTTAGTGAACGAGATCCGCGACAGTACGAGAGCAGTGTGCCGATCAAGCATAGAGCCGACCTTGTTCAGGCTTTAGAAGAATCTAAGGAGCCTGACGAGGCCAAGCCATAGCACAGCCTCTGAACTGAACCAACCTACAACACACAAACCACCCTGCACTTCACAAATCTGAGGCAAATTCTGCCGATGAGAAGGACTTTCCTTTCCTGCCAACCTTCTTCCTCCCCTCCGCCTGCACTTTGGCTGGTCGCTCGCCTGAAACATCTGTGTCAGGAAATGCAGCTCAAATCGTACCTTGGGATTGGCCAGGTGAAGTCATCTCATCCAACGGCTATTCGTAGCTTTGGGGTGTGCAATGGACCATCGGGATGTGCGCGTGGTCAAACCCGCCAACCTCGAGGGCACCAGCGCCAGCGCACGAAGGCTGGGAAGATACGCGCGGGATGTGCGAAAACCGAGGGGAAACCTGGTGCCCTCCGTTTGTGTGGCAGATCCCACTGAACTGAAATTGGCGAATCTTCCGCGGACTTCGTCTGTAACAAGCTCGTTCAAACAAATGAATAAGGCTAATTCTAATATTTCACAATTCTCACCTTCCAGATTTTTATGGCTTTTAGAAGCTGGCAAAATTGCCTGGATCAGGCATCCTCCACTGGATATACAAAAGAAAAACCTGCATGCAACATTTTGTGATTCAAGAAAGCATAAGTGTCCGCCAGGCACAAATGCTCACATCAGCCTGGTTGACTAGAGCCTTGCTTGAGTTCTTGACACTCAGATTCAAGTGAGGCATATTCAGCTTCTAACTTGGCCGTCAGTGTGGCAACCTGCCCACACACACAGAGAGATGCAAGTGAAGAGGGAATAAAGTCAATGCGCCTGCAGAAATCACATGGAACAAAAGCGCTTCCCCGGATGTACCAATTCTGCACATTCTATGTGTAGATTTGTAACAAGGTTACTTCTGAGCTGTCCCAGGAGTCAGTGCGTTTCACCCCTAACTGCTTCAGGGCAGCAGCACGTGGCAGCTAGCTCTTGAGCATTTCGAAAATGGCAGAGACGTCTAATGACAGGAAATGGTTGGTAAGAATGCTTCAAGGCATTACCTGTTTCCTTGCAGCAGCTATGGCGGTCAGTTCTTGCTCGTCTGAGAATTGCAGAAACCACTGCGACAACGGATGGTCTAGCGTGTCCCCACGATTCTCCCCTCGCAAGTCCGATTCCAAGCTGCGTGCATCTGCAGGGGCCGAACTGGAGCCATCTGCAGAAGAATGCCCATAAAAAGCAGTTTACAAATGCAAGCACAGAAAGTATCAAATTCTGTCATAATCCACCAGACTCCAGAGGTGTACAGATCGAGAGTATACAGAGGCTCAAGGCATTATACATCAAAACAACATGGACATCCGTTAGTATGTATGCGTTTAGAAGTGCCATGTTTACCTTGAGGTATTGCTGCGTGGTTCCCAGCGGCGGTGATGGCCTCCTCACTGCCGTGAATGCGGACCATGGGGTTGGAGCGGATGCGATGGAAAAACGCGATCTGGAAACAAGCATCAAGTGGTTTCCAGAGACTTATTGGGGACCACAGTTTCAAGATATGAGCTTTCAGGCGCATTACAAAAGAATGTCATGAATGCAAACCATGGGGTTGGACCAGATGCAATGGAAAAAGTAATCCGGAGACAGGCATAAAGTGGTTGCTAGAGACAAACAGTGTCAGACAGATCCGGAACCACAGTTAGAAAAAAAACAGCGTTTGAGATGACTGGATAAAAAGCATGTGAGCGGGACTTGCTACCCACCACTGTACCCATGGCTTTGAAAAACACTAGCCTACCTCTTAGGCGTCTAGAAGTTAACCCGTACCTGTGGTTCGCAGAACACTAGCTCGTCGTATTGCTCAGCCACAACAGGCCGCTTGGTGCTGAGAGGCTGGTTGGGAGCGCTGCCTTCTGGGTACAGCCGGAGGTGATGGGTACTGGGGCGGGGGAGAGAATGGTGGGTGAGGAGGGTGGGGGGAACGAGGCGGGAGATGAGAGGAGGGAGACGGCAGAAAGGGTTTGGAGAAAGCAGGGCAAATGTCTTGAACGGATGTTCACACATCGATTGGAAGGGGGCTATTTACAGCATCTAACCGCATGCAAAGTATCTTCTGGAGGGGATAAAGTGGGCGTGCATGGTGTTGGGGTTTCTAGCCAATGTACAGCCCTTGCGACTGAAATTGTTACAACAAAACTTGTTGCACAGGTCCTGGAGGGAATCAGCTCACAGTTCAGCTGGCATTTCGGACGCATCAGCGTGGAAGACAATGGTCATGGCGATCTCAAACTCGCCCCAGCCACTCTCCAACAGCATGAAGGGCGGTCGCTCCACTATGCGGGTCGGATTGGAGAAGCTCGGATGCAGCTGAAACACCACCTGGCCATTGGGGTGTGAAGGGTGGGGGGTGAGGAGGGGAAAGAGACGATGAGGCTGTTTTAGGAAAGGCAGCACAAGGTGAGGGAAGTTGGGGGGGCATGACTTTACGACAGGCAGACAAAGGGGAAATGCGTAGATTTCAAACTCGCCCCAGCCGCTCTCCAACAGCATGAAGGGCGGTCGCTCCACTATGCGGGTCGGATTGGAGAAGCTCGGATGCAGCTGAAACACCACCTGGTCATTGGGGTGTGGAGGGTGGGTAGGGGGAGAAGAGAAAAACATTGGGTTAGAGGGATTTTTGGGAAGGAAGTAGATTCTATATTCGCCCCAGCCGCTCTCTGACAGCATGAAGGGCGGCCGCTCCACAATGCGGGTCGGGTTGGAGAAGCTCGGATGCAGCTAAAACACCACCCGGTTGTTGGGGCATTTGTAGTGGGAGGTGAAGATAGCGGGAGGTGTGTTTCGGAACCCAGCCGCTCTCCGACAGCATCAAGGGCGGCCGCTCCACAAGGCTGGTCGGATTTGAGAAGCTTGGATGCAGCTGAAACACCACCTGGCCATTGGGGAATTGGGGAAAAAAGGAGCTATACTTGATTAAGCAACTTCCTGGAAGAGGCAGACTGGGTGCAGACGGAAATACTGCTTGGCCCATGGTCGCACCTTCCCCCCAGCCCTACCTGGCCCCAGCGTACCTTCTTCACCACACTACCGAGGTCGCCGTTGTCAGCTGCCCGCACAACCTTCACTTGCAGGACCTTCAATCACAGCAGTGACTAACATTTCTCAATCACCCCACAGCCCTCTCTGGCCCCAGCATACCTTCTTCACCACACTGCCCAGGTCGCCGTTGTCAGCTGCCCGCACATACACCGTCCACGTCTCATAACAACCTTCAAGAAAAGCAGAAAGTCATATATCTCACCTTCCCCGCAGTCCTCTCTGGCCCCAGCGTACCTTCTTCACCACACTGCCCAGGTCGCCGTTGTCAGCTGCCCGCACATACACCGTCCACTTGTGAGTGGCGTTCCTGGTGATGGGATTATACGGAGAGGATATCTGGTGGTGGTGATGTTGGTGAAGACAAAGCGGTGAAGAGAAGCATAATACAGAAGGGGAATGATGCCAAACAAGTGGTGAGTCTAGACGAAATATTCTGTCCAAGCTGAAAAGTGACAAGGTACGACCAATGAGGTTGCTGGGCGGTATACTCTGAGCATTCACAGGGCAGGGCATTGCTTCTCGAGAAAGACTCAAAGATAGAACGGTAGGTGGCAACTCACTCGTCTGCTTTCTTCCCCAGCCAGAAGGCACAGCTGCCGAACACAATAGGCAGCACCACCTCCACGTCACGAGCTCTCTACGAGAAGCAACATGAGGGGAGGAAACGAGAAAGAAAACAGGGAACGTGGGAAGGAATATGTGTTTCGTAACAAGCAGAAAACAGGGAACACGGAAGAAAATTATTCCATTGAGTGGGGAAAAGCATGAAAACTGGAACAAAGAAGAACCTGAAACTCGGCACGTCATCAACCACCTGAGCACGGCGTTTTGTTCCAATCTGCTCTATCCCAATCAGAGTACTCCCGTGAAAGCCTAGCATGAAGTGAGCCATGTCCGTCTGCCTTGATCCAGAAAGCGACCTGATAGTGTATAAGCGATCTTCTTACCGGTTTGTCATCAGCTCTCATGAGCTTCCCCTTCTGCTGTCTCTGGATCTGGCTCACATCCGTCTGCTCTATCCCAAACCGTTTTCCCACCACCGCTTGTGGTAGCTTCCCTCTCAGGGCCACAATCTCGTTGATCTGAAGGATAGGAACGGAGGAAGTGGAGAGATGTGGGGGCGGAGGGGGGCGGGTGGGGGAGGACGTGACGTGATGAAGGCAGGGACAGAAAGCAAGAGCGTTTTCCTGCCATGAATGGGGCAGATGTCGGAAAGTTGCAGGAAGAAAGACGGTAAAAGAGAGGCAGAAAAAGAGGAAAATCTTTGAGGCGCCTCATTACTTAAGGTGATTCTTGCGGCGCCTCGAAAATCGTCTCACCACGGACCCCCTCGGGCGTGAGGTCAACCAGCCGTTTCTTGCGCTTTGACATGCCCTTCCCCGCCCCAACCTCTAGCGGCTTCCACACGACGACGTGAGTCACAGGTCAGAACTGCATTCTCACACACCACACCTCCACCAAGAAACACATCTCACCACGGACCTCCTCGGGCGTGAGATCAACCAGACGTTTCTTGCGCTTTGACATGCCCTCTCCCCCTCGGCCCCAGCCTCCGCCACGCCCTCCCCTTCCCCCTCCCCCTCCACCGCGCTCTACCGCGGGAGCCTCCGCTCCCGCTCCTTGGCCTTGCATGTTTCGTCGACTGGCGGTGACTGGCGAAACTGCGTGCGATGGCACTGGCACTTAAAGAGAAGTTCGTTAGGTAAATTAGGTCAACGAAAATCAGTAAGAGTGTCGGTTAAGGGGAAGAAAGGGACTTCTTGCATCAGCGAAGCTAGTTGCAAGTGCTTGTGAAGAAAAACAGGGCTTCAGGATTTAGGGTAATTAAGGTCTGCGGGAATCAGCGGAAATGTTGTCTAAGAAAAATCAGGGCTTCTGGATATAGCTTGAGTGGTTACGGCTTCTTGCAAGTGTAGTGAAGCAGATAGCAGTAGCTGTGGCTCTTGCGCCAAATCGTGCTACGATTGCCGCGGGCCACATGTACAGATGGTAGCGTAATGAACCCACGGCGTACTTGGACACAAAGAGCTTTCGCAGCACAAAGTCCCTCTGCGACAATATTTAAGGTTACCGTCCTTGTCGAGGGATTAAAGTGATTCGCCAATGACCGTATGGGACGGCGGATCGTGCTGACATCCCATCAATGAGCACTCATTGGTCGGGCGGGCGCCTACTTTGCGCCAACCCGCAATTTTTGGAGCCGAGAGGCGCAAACCCCCAAGCGGGGAATGCCCTCAACATGTATCAAAAGATATGCCAGAAATACATTACATTATCAACCTGCATTCAACACGTTCTGTCGGGACAAAAGAGCTGGAGCGTGTCTGCAGAAATTACTTGTCAAACCTCAGATAATCAACCTCTTCTAGTAGGGACCTCAATGTTTGTTACCAAATCCAGTAAAATTGTCTTCCGTCTTCTTTTGCATCAAAGCACTTCACAATTTCAACCATTCTTGTCATAATCTGCTTGTTATTTGCTCCTGCTCTCCGTATGTGGACTCTGGACAGAGATTTGCATGCATGGACTTTTTTTTGTCATGTTGTACACAAACTTCATTTCCAGCTTCAGCATAACGTCAATCGACCTGCAAGAAGGGAATGAGTGAATACATGACTTGCACAATACCATGGTACCCAAACAGCCTCATTTCTCACCAACACGGTGAATCCAGTCACCAAAGGCTTTCTTAGCCTCTTCCACACTCTCAATAATCTCCATCTTGTTATTCTCAGGCGAAGCCATAGCATCTGTTCCATCAAACTTGGCAAAAACCTCCGCATCTGACAGGTACAGCACACGATGCAGGTCTCCCCCAGGAGTAGTCAGGAAATCTCCAGCGTTGACTTCAAGAGTGGTTCCTTTGGTCAGGTTCTGAACAATCTGCCGTCCTGAAATCAGGTATACGTCGTGGGTCAGGGTGTGACGGTGGGCTGGCTCGACAGAACCGGCTGCGAACTTGAAAACTGCCGTTGTCGGACGGAACCACTTCATGCTTACACCAGGATATCCTTCCACGGAGACGAGCTCACGATCACCAGCAGGGTCATAAATCACAGGAAGAGCTTCAGTATCACTTCCCGGTGTCTTCGTTGCTTCATCTTCCAGAATGACGCTCCCAGTATTGTTATCAGAAGCGTTACATTTCGTGGACGTCGGTCTTCCTTCGACTGCAGCCATAATGTGTTTAGTCTTCCTGACTTCAAAGACAAGATTAACACCCGCCTGATGCAGGCGAGCCGAAGCTTTGACAACGTTCGGTTGCTTGAGATTCACTGAGGAAGGACCTATAGTGGCTGGTCGATGAATGACTGAAGTTATCAGGTCCCTGCCGGAATAAACGAAGCTCTCCATTGATTGTGAAATCCTTTCGAACTGAGAAATGAGTTCATGAAATCCTTACGAAGTCTTCATGATGCGTGAGGTGATACGGTTTCGTGATGGTTGTGAAAGGCACCGAGATTACACGGATAAGACAACAGGCCGACATCGAACTCGGCATCCCCTTGCGTATAGGATATGCAAAGAACAAGAAACTCCAACTTTTGGACCAGAGACTGGAAGAGGTTGACTTTACCAACAGGAATGCAGAATGACAGCAAGAACTGCAGAACCAAGCAAAGAGACCTTGCCGACGCTCACAGCAAGCGGGATTGCTGAAATTTGCTGCTTGTGCCACATCTGTGAATTGAATCTGCGTCGGGAGACCATCGAAAATGTGAAACCTCGATGTACGCTGGCGCGACGTTGCTAGTGTTCCGACGCCCAGAATACATGTATGTCCGCGCAAAACAAAGAACTTCCACTATCTGAATCATACTAAACAGAATCTATTTGCTCTATGACAACACATAGGAATCTCTTTAGCATTTGTATAAACAAATGAGTGACAAAAACTACAGCTACTGATAAGTACATATCTATGCGCATGAGCATTCAATATTCCACATGTGGTCAGCCTTGTTGCTACAGCCGAGCCAACACACACCATTCCATCGGTGCCAATGCCAGCATGCGAAAAAATCGCTGACGATGGAAGAAACGTGCGTGCCTGCCCAAGTTAACCCCTAAACCCTAGTACCGAAACACAGTACGCCACACGCAACCCGTTCAGGACAGGGTACATCACTCCTTTCCCCCCCGACCGACACCACCATCCAGGTTTTGCCGAATCGGCGTGTACTGAGGGCTTAACACCGGGCTTATTGGGGGTTGAAGGCGCAAGCCTGCTCGAAGATGAGCTGGCGGATGCGGGGGATGTCATACTCCTCCTGCTCGAAGCTCAGGTCGTACTGGAAGGGGTTTGGGTGCGGCGGGTCCTGGTTGGCCTTGTGGTAGTGCGCCAGGTACGGGTGCGCCAATGCCTGGTCCACTGTGATTCTCTTTCTCGGGTCAAACACCAGCATGCGCTGCACCAAGTCAGCCGCAGGTTCTGAGAGCTTGGGAAACACGTCTCTGATGTTCCTGGCGGGGAAGCCCTGCAGCTCTGAGAGCAGGAAGGTGCGGGCGGCATCGTTGACTATGAAGGAGGCGTCTTCTGCTGAAGGGGATCCGATGAGCTGGTGTGGAAACACAAGGGGATGGGGAGATGAGGGGAGAATGAAGCATGAGAGGGTAGATTGGAGATGGGAGCCCTGCAGCTTGAAGGGCAGGAAGGTGCGGGCGGCATCGTTGACTATGAAGGACGCGTCTTCTGCGGATGGAGATCCAATCAACTGGCAGTCAAACCAATGTGGAGGGATAACACAGAAGAGGGAGGAAGGCCGACGGGAGGGGAAGCACAAGAGGGGGGATTACGGCAAACGAAGGGGGGAGGGGAAGGGAAGCCCTGCAGCTCTGAGAGCAGGAAGGTGCGGGCGGCATCGTTGACTATGAAGGAGGCGTCTTCAGCCGAAGGGGAACCGATGAGCTGGTGTGGAAACACAAGGGAATGGGGAGATGAGGGGGAAATGAAGCACGAGAGGGTAGATTGGAGAGGGGAGCCCCGCAGCTCGAAGGGCAGGAAGGTGGGTTGGCATCATAGACTATGAAGGAGGCGTCTTCAGCCCTGCTCTCCCTCCCCTGCTCTCCCTCCCCTGCTCTCCCTCCCCTGCTCTCCCTCCCCTGCCCTCCTCTCCCTTTCCCCCTTTCCCCTACGCACCTCACATGTCTTCCGAAGCTGGTCCACGTAATTATCCCCTTTGAGCACAATGTGCCCCAGAACCAACTCCAAATAAATGAGCGCCACGGACCACACATCAATGGACGCGCTGTACTGCTGGTTGTTCACCAGCAGCTCGGGCTCTCCCTCCCCTTTCCCCTAGCCATAGACGCACCTCACAGGTCTTCCGAAGCTGGTCGACATAGTTGTCTCCTTTCAGCACAATGTGCCCCAGCACGAGCTCCAAATAGATGAGCGCCACGGACCACACATCAATGGAAGCGCTGTACTGCTGGTTGTTCACCAGCAGCTCGGGCGCGCGGTAGTATCTGGTAACCACGTATTCCGTCAGGTGGTCCGTGGTTTCCACGCGGGTCCGCGCGAGGCCGAAATCGGTGATCTTGATGTTGCAGCGCGCGTCGATGAGGATGTTGGGGGGCTTTAAGTCGCGGTGCAGGATGTTGGCCGAGTGAATGTACTTCACGCCCCGGAGGAGCTGGAAGAGAATGAACTGGGGAAAGAAGGGGATGGGGGAAGGGGGAGAGCAGAAGCATGAGCAGGGAGAGGACGGGAGGGAAACGGATGTTGGCGGAGTGAATGTACTTCACGCCCCGGAGCAGCTGAAACAGGATGAACTGGGAAGAGGAAGAGAATAGATAGGGACAGTAGAATGTTGATTTGCACAGGGAAAAGGGATGGGTAAGGGGAAGAAGAGATGCTGACTGAGTTGCTGGAAAAGGATGAACTGGGGAGACGAGAGGGGAGGACGGAACGGGGGAACAGGGAGGGGGAAGAGATAGGGGCAGAAGAATGGTGGTTCGTGCTGGGAAAGGGGAAGAAGAAGGAGGGATGTTGGCGGTGTGAATGTACTTGGTGTCTCGGAGGAGCTGGAATAGGATGAACTGGGAGAAGACGGGGGGAGAGGGTGGGTGGGTGAAGAAACAGAGGTGGAAGCACGGATGATGGGTGGTTGAAGGAGAAAGGGAAGGGGAAGGATGGATGCTGGAAGAAAGGATGTTCATGCATGGCTTGCCCCGACCGAACGACCTTGTGCAGGTCCGTGGGCATGAGTTTGTACACCATTGCACACTCACCCACTCTTATTGTATTGTCACACCTTGTAGCGCAACCCACCTTGTAGTGGCATTCATCCATGGCTTGCCCGGACCGAATGACCTCGTGGAGGTCCGTGGGCAATGGGCATGAGCTCGTACACAATGTACACGTCCTGGAAGCTCTTTTGAGCTTGCCCTGAAGCTCTTTCGTACCTTGAAGTGCCGTTCGTCCATGGCTTGTCCGGATCGAATGACCTCGTGCAGGTCCGTGGGCATGAGCTCGTACACGATGTAAACGTCCTGAAAGCTCTGCGGGTTGGGTGGGCGGATGATGTCCTTGATGGCGATCACCTGGGGGAAGAGAAGGAGAAAGAGGAGCAGCAGGGACTTTTAAGGAGCCTGAAGTCGGGTTGGGCGGGCGGATGATGTCCTTGATGGCGATCACCTGGGGGAAGAGAAGGAGAAAGAGGAGCAGCAGGGACTTTTAAGGAGCCTGAAGTCGGGTTGGGCGGGCGGATGATGTCCTTGATGGCGATCACCTGGGGGAAGAGAAGGAGAAAGAGGAGCAGCAGGGACTTTTAAGGAGCCTGAAGTCGGGTTGGGCGGGCGGATGATGTCCTTGATGGCGATCACCTGGGGGAAGAGAAGGAGAAAGAGGAGCAGCAGGGACTTTTAAGGAGCCTGAAGTCGGGTTGGGCGGGCGGATGATGTCCTTGATGGCGATCACCTGCGGGGAGGAGAGGCGGAGGAGGGGGAGATGTGCAGAAGGAGCAGGGAATTGGGTTCATACACCATAGTGCTCATCCAACCAGAGAGACAATGAGAGACGGCTCACGCTGGGTTGGTTTATGTTGCGGAGGAACACACCATTCATTTATTACAAGATTGCTCATCCCGATTCAAAGTGTGCTCACCTGACGAAACAGAGAGACGGCTCACATTGGGGTGGTTCATGCTGCGGAGGAGCACAATTGAATCGTCAAGAGTGTGCTCATCCAATCCAACCAACCCCAGGGAGCACACCTCATCCAACCAGAGCGAGAGTGTGCTCACTCACATTGGGGTGGTTCATGTTGCGGAGGAGCACAATCTCGCGGAGAGTCCGCTTGGCATCTGTGCGGTCGTTAAACGCCTTGCCGATCTTCTTTATCGCCACCTCCTCCCCGGTCGTCTCATCTCGTGCAGAGCTGAGGAGAAGTGGAATTGGGATACAAAAAAGGGGCAGAGGCTGGTATATGCTCGAGAATGTGTTATGAACATACCAGACCAGACATACCCAAATTTTGACATTGGCTCTAACCTTCCAACCCCTCAAGCGCTCCCTTACTAACACTCCTCGCAATATTTTCCATTGGTTCTCGTACTCGCGCTGACCTATCACATCCATGGGTTCGTATCACCAATCAATTACGTAAGCTACTCAACCAACGGAGACAAATTTGGGTCGTTTCAGATGATTTGGAGTGCTCTCAAATCAAACAAGAAGAATCCTAGAAAATTACCTGATTCTTATGCCAGAACTCACCAGACAATGCCGTAGGCTCCTCGGCCAATGGGGACGAGCGGCACATAGCGCACGGGGACCTCGAAGATAATTCCGTAGAAGCTGTAGCGTCTGTAGCGGCCGTCGTACGTCAGCGTGCCTTCCTTGGGTATTTGCACGGCGTCTGGCCCTTGCGACGCGTCTTCTTGGTTCATTGTCTCGTCTCCCTGCCGCCAAAAGGATGAAATTCGAAGGGATTTGTGAGAATGGCATGTGAAACGCATCAGGGTTGATCGCCGTCGGACCTTGTGACGCGACCTCCTGGTGCATCGTCTCGTCTCCACGCGGCGAATCATATAAATCTACCCGGAATTTGTGACATTGACAATTGAGACGCCTTAAAGCTTCTGAAGCGAATTCATGGTGCATCATCTCGTCTCGTTGCTGCGAAATGGATCGGATATGAAAGGTAGGGTGATAATGTTCATTGAGACATATCAGAGCTGAAGGTGTCTCAATTTTTGCGTAGCGTTGCTCTTGTCGCGAGATAAATCGAGAAGACAAGGTATGGTGAAATTTTTCGAAACCAGAATCATCCCATTGTATTGACATTGCGATTAACGGGTAGGATTGTATTGGTCCTGCAAACATACCATTCCTGAAATCAGCTGGGTTATGCGCTACTTTGCTTGTAGCACGCAGACACTACTGACCGGAAAAACTAGCTGCTTGACGCATAACAGCAATTTACGACCTTGAGATACGTTTAAAAGAATATATTCTCCCTGCGATTCTATTACTCCTGGATTGCGCGACAGAAATTCCAATAACAACAATGGAAAGAGCTAACCTGCGGCCGTAGTAGTTCAGAAGCCATGTTCGAGATGCCGCGAGATCGCACGACAAGACACAACGCCGAGCCTCGTTCTCGTTCCTAACGAGTCGCGGAAGACGGAATGCTAATCGCTGAGCTGTAAGGAAGCAATGTACGTAGATGCTGGATGAGAACACAGTGATCGAGTAATGGCGGCCTTTTGTAGAGATTGCTTGCGGAAAGCTACCTGAAAGAGAAATTGCTACCAAACCCGTATGACCGTGAAAAGCCGCGACTAAGGGGACACTTCTACGAAATTGGGAAATGCTTCAGCTGCACGCCAGTTTCTCCTAGAGCAGACTAGACTAGGGACGAGCAACCTGCAAGCAAGCCCAGATATCTGGGCGAACTCGGTCCGAGACCTCTGGATATGCTTCCCCGTATCTGGCCATTCGAAGCAGACTTCACAACGAGGCCAGACCCACCTCAAATCCCAAGGGAAAGGCAATCTAGAATCTTGTTCGACCCTCTTAAACGTAGTGAAACGCACTGAAACGCAGTTAATCGTGCGATTGCGAGACGCCCATCCTTGGCAATTGGGGGTCCGTGACTGACAGCGGCTTATCTAAACTTGGAGTGGAATACACGCATATCAGAACGGTTTAGCGAGACATATAATGCAGCGTATGCCCATCCCTCAGCACAGGCTGGGCTCAAGCCACTCACCAGGTGAGTTTCCGGTTTGTGGGGGTGTTTGGCTTGTGGTCTGGCGGAATGGGGATTGGGTGACGGTGACGTTGGTCGGGATTGGCCGTGGTTGAGGGGTCTGGAAGCAGGAGTCAGCCAGCCCCAACGCGCCAAGAACAGCGGTCCCATCCCCGACAACGGGGAGGGGAACGGGGGCAATCGCTTGGAGTTTGTGTTTTCTTCCGCCTTTTGCACCCCATTCCCCCACTTGGAATTATCGAGCCGCCTGCAGCAGAACCCCGCGGCCTTGCTGGACACACCACATGAAACGACATCCCCGAGGACGACCTGACACACCTACTCCGGGCAGCCGCGAAAATAACGGTTTCCCTCCATCTTCCAGCCGGCCAGTGGCGACCCGTGCCAGCGGGAAAGAAAAGTTTTCGGTCACGATCTCGGGCAGGAAGTTCCCAAGGAATGCCTGCTTGTTTCAGCATCAGCCATCTCCTCGCTCGACTGAATGGGCTTCGACCCACCCCCTCCAATAATTCCATATTCCATCTATTTCCCTCATCGTTGGCTCGCTTCCCCTCTCTCGCAACCCCTGTGTTTATTTCAGCATCAGCCATGTCCCTTGCAATTATAGGAACGCTGTCGGAAGCGAGGTCGGCTCATTCCCCGTGATAGCCGTCGCGTTCGTGGTCGCTTTATCCACACAGTGCTAGAATCAGCGTTGGCCATCGTCCCTATTTCGTTCACGCACAGACTGCGTCAATAGCATCCCAGGAAAGGAAGCTTAGCTGGCACCTCGGCATCCATGTCGCACCACCACCGTAACGTTCGACCGACCTTTTTTTAGTCTATTCCGCAGGGTAGACCTGTCTTTTAGAGAAGCAATAGCGTCTGAATATGAGTAGCTCTTGAGAAATTTCAAAAGCAACTCTTATACAGCCACCCCTCGCAGAATAAGTCAGAGCAAATTCAGTGTTGTTTCTGTTCGCGTTCTATTGATCCCCTTGATTACTTGAGTATCCTCCGAACAGCGTTGTCTGTGGTCCCGTTTAAATTAACTTATCACTTGAGACGTCTTCTCGAAAGCCGTTGGTTCCAGCTAACTAACCATTCCAATCCACTTACTCGACCAAGTCGCGTGCCTTCGCGTGTCATTTTCCCTCATTCAACCCTGAATTCAAGCTCGCGAAAGGAAAGAGCTTGCGAGGTCGCCCTTGGCGATGGAGCGAGACCGACATCTTCCTGAGCACGGAATTCCACCAGAGCCTCCAACGGTCGACCCCGCCGCCGCCTTACCTTCCCCAAGGGTCGACGCTGGGACGGTTCCTGGCTCCTTCGCATCAACGGAGCGCGCCCCCAGCGGGAGCGGAATTCTCGAGCGCGCATCCGGCTCCACGGGAGGAGTGGTCGAGCGCACCGGTAGCACTTCCCTTTACACTCCTAGATGGGCACGCGGGGCAGGAGGAGCACCTGTACCCCCTTCCGCCATGGCCTCTGCGGCTGCCGCCGCAACAGCCGCCGCGTCTGCCTCCGCGTCTGCCGCCGCTGCCGCAGCCGCCGCCGCAGCCGTGCCTTCGGATCCAACCACTCCTAGCGGCCCGCTGACGGCTCCGTTAGACGTCAGTTTTACCTCCACTAACACGCCCACTCCGTTAGGGTTTCAGCAAGGCTTTCCGGGTTTCCAGCCACGGGATCCGGAGCGCGACAGGCGGAATCTGTCCATGGAGATGCCGGAACCCCCCCCTCGGCGGAGAACCCGCCCTGTCTCTTCCGCCATCTACCCTCGCCCCCACGTCGCCGCTTCCCCCGCCGACGGCATGGCGCACCGTGGAATGGGCAGCGACTTGAGCGGAGACGCGCGGCTCTGGTCCCCGTCGCAGCATCTCCAGCGCGGGCGCATGCCGGAAGCCGCCTTCCCCAGTTACCGCCCAGGCGACAGTGGAATTCTCCGCGGCGGGAGGCGGCCCGGCGGGCCGATGTCCGGGCAGTTTCCCGGCCCGGGCATGGGAAAGTCGGGCATGATTGGCCAGTCGGGGTTGATTGGGCAGTCGGGAATGTTTCCGCCGCCGTCGGCGATCCCCCAGTCAGGGTCGTGGGGGGGGACGGCGCCGAACACGCCGAGCATACCGAAATCGAATATAGTGCAGAAATCTATGATTATGTGCATGGATCCGACGTGTAACAAGTGCCCCCCCGAGATGCACGCGCTGCGGAACCGGAAGCTTATGGCGGCGGCGATTGACGAGTTCCCGCAGCCCCTAGCGTCGAAAGACGCGCGCGGAGGGGGGAGGCGGGGGAGCGACGGGGGCGGGGACGGCGGAGGGGACGGGGGAGGAGGCCGCGGAGGAATGGACGACTTTGAGTATGATTTTGACGAGTTTGATTTCGAGGACGACGAGGAGTATGACGAGGAGACGGGCGGCAAGAGGACAATCATTCGCTGCTGCGGCCTGCCATGCTTTGTCTTCACCAGCAGGGTTCGTTCCTGATCTCCCCCTTCCAACCTCATCCTCTCTCTCTCTCTTCCTCCCGGCCCCATTCTCTTTCTCCCTCTCGATTCCTCCTTTCGTCCGCCTACAAGTCTCTCGTTCCCACGCTTTTAGAAACCCCAACTCCTTGTTTCACGGCCCAGTGCCACTCGCGAATGCTTGTCCGTCAAACATTCAAGCCCCGTAACAACCATTCCCCCCCCCCTGCCCCCTCCTTCCCTTTCCTCGCACCCCCTCGATACAGGGAAAGCGCCGGTCGCCGATGCTGGGGTTCTTCCGATTTGTGGAGGGGCTGGTGCAACCCGTGGGCATCCTCAACCCGCACTCCAGGTGGGGCGGTGGGGCATGTTTCCTTCCAGTGCATACATATACATACATGTGTATAACTCCCGTTTCCATGCTGGGGTTCTTCCGATTTGTGGAGGGGCTGGTGCAACCCGTGGGCATCCTCAACCCGCACTCCAGGTGGGCCGGTGGGGCATGTGCATACATATACATACATGTGTATAACTCCCGTTTCCATGCTGGGGTTCTTCCGATTCGTGGAGGGGCTGGTGCAACCCGTGGGCATCCTCAACCCGCACTCCAGGTGGGGCGGTGGGGCATGTTTCCTGCATCTTTGGCTTCTGTGTGTGATGAGTGGATTTTTGAGTCCGACTCAAAAATCGCACTCCAGGTGGGGCTGTGGGGCATGTTTCCTGCATCTTTGGCTTCTGTGTGTGATGAGTGGATTTTTTAGTACAACTCAAAAATCGCACTCCAGGTGGGGCTGTGGGGCATGTTTCCTGCATCTTTGGCTTCTGTATCGACCCCTGGTTCTCCCTGTCCTGTCCTTGCCTCCAACCGTCCCCCTTCTTCCCCCGGTCCACCACTCCCCCTCCCCCCCACCCTGGTTCCTGGCGCAGTGGAACAAGTGGTGCACGGTCACGTGCATTCTTGGCTTCTGTATCGACCCCTGGTTCCCCCTGTCTTTGCCTCCATCCGCCCCCCTTTCCTCCGCCTCCGATCCCCCGTCCCCCTCAGGTTCGTGGCGCAGTGGAACAACTGGTTCATGGTCACGTGCATTCTTGGCTTCTGTATCGACCCCTGGTTCCCCCTGTCTTTGCCTCCATCCGCCCCCCTTTCCTCCGCCTCCGATCCCCCGTCCCCCTCAGGTTCGTGGCGCAGTGGAACAACTGGTTCATGGTCACGTGCATTCTTGGCTTCTGTATCGACCCCTGGTTCCCCCTGCCCTGTCCTTTGTCCCATCCGTCCCCTTTGTTCCCCCCGTCCACCACCACTCCCCCTCCCCCGGCAGGTTCGTGGCGCAGTGGAACAAGTGGTTCATGGTCACGTGCATCTTTGGCTTCTGTATCGACCCCTGGTTCCTCTTCACACTCCTCACCATGTTCTCGCCCTCCAAGGTATGTTTCAGTGCACGTGGTTACCAGCACGTGGCACGTGGTTACCAACATGTGGTTACCATCTCTATCACCTACAGCACTCGCACTGCATTGACCCCTGGTTCCTCTTCACACTCCTCACCATGTTCTCGCCCTCCAAGGTATGTATGCTGACTGCCCTCAGGTTGCCATTGGTCAACTGCCCGGCTGCCATCACCCTCACTCACAGTGATGCTTTACCCCTCACTTGAACGCTGCCCCCCTCTTTCTCACCTCACGCTACCCTTCACTGTATATCTCACTCCCCTCTCACTTCACTCCCATCAGGTCACCCTGTGTTTAGACAGCTACTACCCTGCGGCCATCACTCTCACTGTCATGCCTCTCTTCATGGCTCTAGTGGCCCCTATCCCATGAACTCACTGCCTTCTTCACTCCCGCTCCTTCACTTCCCCTGTCTTTCAGGTCACCCTGTGCCTAGACATCAACTACCCTGCTGCCATCACTCTCACTGTCATGCGTTCAGTTGTGGATCTTATGTATCTGATCAACATATTTATACAGGTGCGTACAGCTCGTTTTAAATCATTCTCATGTTCTTGAACAAAAAAGCGTCTAACACATACCAGCATATCATACTTTCTGAACTATACTTCTCGTTCGTATATCATTAAGTCGATGAAAGATTACTCGTTGTCCCATCTCCCCTCCCTAGCGCACATCACTTATTGTTCCTGCCAGAGCTTCGTTATTGCCTTCCAAGCAAAAGTTTCGAGGCGAGTCACAACGTACTGCGTGATCCCTGACTTTTGAGACGTGTTTGAAGAAGTGTTTTGAGACGTCTCAAAAGTCTTCCTGCCAGATCTTCGTCATTGCCCTCCAGACGCAAGTTGACTTTTGAGTCGACTCAAGAATCTACTTATGCTTCCGGCCAGATATTTTTCGATGCCATCCAGACACAAGTTTTGAGGCGACTCTAAACTTCCTGCGTGCTCCCTGCTCTTCATCGTTTGCCCATTTAAACAAGCCTCTTTCGCATCTCTCTCCTTTCCCCTTCCAAGTTTCCTTCCCCTCCGTTACCCCCTGCCACCCCTCCCCCGTACCAGTTCCGCATGGCCTATTTCGTCCCAGCGCCCAGCAACCATTCTTACAGGTGGAAATGCCTGCAATGGTGGTACTCTGTCCCCTCGAAGCTGGCCCCCAAACATCCCTTCATCCCCTCCCATCCCACCCACACACGCCCCACGCCCCTTCCCCCACACCAGTTCCGCATGGCGTATTTCGTCCCGGCACCCAGCAACCGCTCTTACAGGTGGAGCTGCCTGCAGTGGTGGTACTCTGTCCCCTCGAAGCTGGCCCTCCCAACGCGCTTTCTTTCTCTCCCTCCACACACCCCTTCTCCCACCAGTTCCGCATGGCCTATTTCGTCCCAGCGCCCAGCAACCGCTCCTATAGATGGAGCTGCCTGCAATGGTGGTACACCGATCCGTCGAAGCTGGCCCTCCCAGAGCTGGTTCCGGGGGATATGGTGACGGACACGAGGGTGATCGCCATTCGATACCTCAAGTCCTGGTTCCTCGTGGACCTAGTTTCCACCTTCCCCATACCCCAGGTGAGTGGGGTTGATGTGCTCCCCAGATAAGCGGCATGTGAACCCATTTTACCCCTGGCAGCTCGCCCTGGGTGACATGGTGGCACACACGAGGGTGATCGCCATTCGATACCTCAAGTCCTGGTTCCTCGTGGACCTCGTGTCGACATTCCCCATCCCCCAGGTGACATGATAGTTTACAGGTAACAGAATTCTCTTTCCCAAGTCAGGTATTCCAGTCCTTGCTATTCCAGTCCTTGCTATTCCAGTCCTTGCTATTCCAGTCCTTGCTATTCCAGTCCTTGCTATTCCAGTCCTTGCTATTCCAGTCACCAGCGCTGGGCCTCAGAGTCCCCACAGCGGCCAACACGTGCATCGCCATGCTCACGCTCCTCCCTCTCTTCCTCCCATCCCACCCCCACTTCCCCCCTCCCCCATCAGATCTTCATCCTGGGCATAGTCCCAGCTCTCGGCAAGTCCGTCCCCACAGCAGCCAACACGTGGATAGCCGTGCTCACGCTGCTCGCCCTCTGCGTTCAGAACATCCCCCGTGCCGCCCGCTTCTTCCCTCACTGTCTCGCTTCCTTGCCCTCCCTTCCCCTCTCTTTCCCACTGCTCTTCCTGCCACCCCCACCCCCACCCCCACCCCCACCCCCACCCCCACCCCCACCCCCACCCCCACCCCCACCCCACCCCACCCCCACCCCCACCCCCACCCCCACCCCCACCCCCACCCCCAACCCCACCCCCGCGCTTTCAACCCCTCACACCCGCGCTTTCAACCCCTCACACCGTCAGATATTCATCCTGGGAATCGTCCCAGCTCTCGGCAAGTCCGTCCCCACAGCAGCCAACACGTGGATCGCCGTGCTCACGCTGCTCGCCCTCTGCGTTCAGAACATCCCCCGCGCCGCCCGCTTCTTCCCTCTCCTCGCGGGCACGGCGCCGCACGTGACGGGCTTTGTGTTTGAGACCGCCTGGGCTAACTTCTTGCTCAACCTGGTCTTCTACCTCATGGCGTCTAACTTCGTGGGAGGCGTCTGGTACATTCTTGCAATCGACGTGAGTGCTTCCCATTCCCCCACCCTGCTGCATTGCTCTCGACGTGAGTGAGTGCTGCCCTCCTTGTTTCCTCCCTCCCTGCCTGCCTGCCTGCCAGTCTTCCCACTGCTGGCGGGCACAGCGTCACACTTGTACCTCGTGCCCTCTCTCCCTGCACTCCCTTCCCGTCTCCCCTCCTCTCCTTCTCCCCACTCACCAAATTTTCAGCGAGTGCTTGCAACACGTGTGCACCAACACCAAGGGTTGCAACCCCACCTACCTCTACTGCGGCAACTTCCTCAGACTGAGCAGCCATGTGATAAAAAAAGGGGTTCTGAGACGTCTCAAACGGCAACTTTCTCAGGCTGAACCAACGCCAGCGCCACTGTCTTACCCTCTCTCCCTGCTTCCCCTCTCTTCTCCTCCTCTCCCCCACCAGCGTTTCAGCGAGTGCCTGCAAAACGTCTGCACCAACACAAAGGGTTGCAACCCCACCTACCTCTACTGCGGCAACACCAACGCCCCTGTCATCACCGTCACCGCTGCGGACCTCTTTTCACCGCAGTACACCGGGAAGAACGTCACCACATGCCTGTACACCCCTGGGGACGACGGCAAAACGGATTCCCCCATCCCGTACGGGGTGTTTGCAAATGCAATCCCGCTCACGTCAAGCCCGGACGTGGTCTCAAACTACCTATACTCCTTCTTCTGGGGACTGCAGGTGAGCTGCTAGGTCTTACTTGTGTGTCTCCCCCACTCATGTATGTATTGCTTGCCTGTAATGTTCAAGGCCATGGTGTCGAGTCGAATCAAACCACCTCTACTTGATCTTGGGTCACAACTTCCGAGGCACCTCAGAAGGTGCTGCTTGCTGCATTGTTGCAATCTGGTGCCGTTGCGGTGGGATGTGGAGGTCCTCTCTTGGTCATCGCCGTAACCACTATCCCTTCTCACCCTCCTCTCCTCTCCTCCTCTCCCCTGCCAATCTCCCACAGCAAGTGAGCACGCTGTGTGGCAGTCTACAGCCGTCGCGGTGGGATGTGGAGGTGCTGTTCGTCATCACCCTCCTTTCTCTCCCCTTCCCTTTACCTCCCTTCCCTCCTCCCCTTCCCCCCGCCTCCATCACAGCAAGTGAGCACGCTGTGTGGCAATCTACAGCCATCGCGGTGGGATGTGGAGGTGCTATTCGTCATCATTGTAATCATAATTGGTCTGCTGCTGCTGGCGCTCCTCATCGGCAACATCTCCAACTACTTGCAATCGCTCAACAGAAGGTAGGGTTTGTGGGTAGCATTACCACCCGATTCCGGGTTAACATCTACGATCTGTAAGTGGTTACCATACAAGCTAGTCACTGTCACCATCATCGGTTTGCTGCTGCTCGTGCTCCTCTTTGGCAACGTTTCCCCAAATCCAGCTACCTCCAATCGCCCAACAGAAGGTAGGCAGGAAGGGTAGAGCCAGCGCAAGTAGTCACTGGGTTACCAGGAATTTTCGGTAAGAAGTTATGTACACAAGTTACCAGTTACCAACACAAGGGGATGGTCAACCATCAGCAGCCTGCTGCTGCTCTGCTCGCTCTCCTCATTGGCAGCATCTCCAACTATCTCCAGTCGCTCAGCAGGAGGTCAGTGGGGTGGGTGGGAGAAGGGGACCGCCAACGGACTATGCTGTAGTTACACATCTATGCATCTATGCATCTATGCATCTATGCATCTAAGCATCTATGCATCTATGCATCTATGCATCTAAACATCTATGCATCTATGCATCTATGCATCTATGCCAGTTACCAATGCTTGAGTCGGTTGGCGGTCCAGGTGTGCAGCGATAACCACACACACACACAAGCCAACACTCTGCAGGCACCATCATTGGCGTCCTCATCAGTGCAGCAGGAGGCACCACTGATGATGCATCCTGTTGCCAATGATGTGGCCTGCTGCTGCTGCTGCTCGCCTCCTCATTGGCATCATCCCCAACCATTAAGGTCATTGCTTACCTTACCTGGGCCGTCCGTCCTTCTTCTCCCTCTCTCCCCTCGTCCACAGGTCATTTGAGTACCAGCTTCGGCGTCACGACATCGGCGCAGGAACCTTTCCAATCTCTCATCGCCTCCTCATCCTTTCCCCTCCTCTCTCCTTCTTCTCCCTCCCCCTCCTCTCCCCTTCTTCTCCCCCTCCTCTCCCCTTCTTCTCCCCCTCCTCTCTCCTTCTTCTCCCCCTCCTCTCCCCCTCCTCTCCCCCTCCTCCCCCCCCACCAGGTCATTCGAGTATCAGTTGCAGCGTCACGACATCGACTCGTGGATGCAGCGCAGGAACCTTCCTGTCGACCTCCAGAAGTAAGCTTCCTTCTCAGAACCTTCTTGTCTAGCTCCAGAAGTAAGCTTCTTGGAACCTTCCGATGCTTTCCAGCGCTGTGATTGGAGAGGCTAGGGTTGTCAGTGTCAAAGTTTTTCCATGGAGTTACGCTAATCAGTAACTTCTTTCCATGGAGTTAAGTCGACTATAAAAAGCCACCCTGATGGCATGGACGTCGTAACCCAAACCCTATTCACGGCCAACATGTGGACTGCTTTTTTTAGAATTCTCAAAAGCCAGCCCGAGCCCTATTCTCATTCCAACCTGTGGATTGGACTCTGCTTCACGCTGATCGACCCTGTTCGCTTTCAATCAATTCTGATGACTCTATGCATGTACCCCCCACCCCTGCTGGCCCGCTCACAGGCAAGTGCGGGCACAGGTAAGACTGCAGGGGGCAGCGACGAGAGGCGTGGACGAGGCAGAGAGCTGCTGGACAGCCATAGCCACTGGGACTCCTCCCTCACATATCACCCTCTTGACCCTGTTTGACCCTATTTGACCCTGTCTGCAGGCAAGTGCAGGCGCAGCTGCGGCTGCAGTGGGCGGCAACTAGAGGGGTGGATGAAGCAGAGCTGCTGGACGGTTTCTCAGACTCCATTCAGATTGACCTCCGCCGCTCATTGTGCCTGGAGCTGCTGCAATGCGTGAGTGTTGTGTGGTTTGGAACGGTACAGTACGGTACGGTACGGTATGGTGTCGTATGGTCTTTATGATAGTGTAAGGCAGAGCTGCTGGACGCTTTCTCAGACTCCATTCAGATTGACCTCCGCCGCTCGTTGTGCCTGGAGCTGCTGCAATGCGTGAGTCACAGCTGTTAATTTGGAATGCTTCCGGTGTGGTACAGTAAGGTACGGTGCGGTTTTGGAATCGTGTGGTAGATGCGAGGCAGTGCTGGTGGATAGCTTCTCTGACTCCATTCAGACTGCAATGCGTGAGTCCCAGTGAACTGGTTAAGTAAGAAACTGTACAGTACAGTGTGGTGCGGTACAGTACGTTATGATGTGGTGGACGAGGCAGAGCTGGTGGATAGCTTCTCTGGCTCCACTCAGACTGACATCCGCCACTCGCTGTGCCTGGAGCTGCTGCAATGCGTGAGTGGTGTCGTGTGGTATAGAGTGGTGCGGTACAGTAGGGTAGGGTATGGGTTGGTATCAGTATGGTACGGTGTTGTGAGGCACGGTGGGTTCGATGATTATCAAGGAGGGGAGTACCCCTCAAGGGATTTTAAGGGGTACTCCCCTTCAAACAGTAGAGGTCTCCCCCCTTCCCCGTCTCACGCATCTTCCTCCTGCTGCTGGAACGGGAGAGACCTCTACTGCTCCTTCCGTGTATCCCCCGATCTCTCCTCCTTTCAACAAGTAACTTCCCGTGCTCGACGTGTTTTGAGACATCTCACCCCTCCCCCCCAACCCTTCTTCCCCTCCCCCTCAGTCCAAGCTGTTTTGCGCCATGGAGCCCCCAGTGCTCGACGCCTTCTGTGCGCGGCTGAAGCAGCAGATCTACACGGCTGGTTCAATGATCATACGAGAGGGCTACCCCGTCTCGCGCATCTTCTTCGTCCTCCGAGGGGAGCTCGAGAGCTTCTCAACCTTTGGGGGCCACACGGGGATGGTGGATACGATGGTGCTGGGCAAGGGGGACTTCCTGGGCGAGGAGCTGCTGGTTGACTGCCTCGAGAAAATCGATGCTGCCAGCGGGAGGAGCTCAGGACGTTCCCTCACCTTGCGCCGATGTGAGTCCCATCTTGTCAAGATGTGAGTACGGATTGGATTGGAAGGGTATGAGGAGTTTGCTTCCTGGGAGAGGAGCTGCTGTTTGACTGCCTCGAGAAGATCGATGCTGCCAGCGGGAGGAGCTCGGGGCGATCGCTCACCATGCGCCGATGTGAGTATATGGATGGGAAGAAAAAGGAGTAAGTAGATGTGTCATGTTGCCAGGGGTGGGGGAAGGGGCGCTGGGATGGGACGTGGGAAGGGCCACACGGGGATGGTGGATACCCTGGTGCTGGGCAAGGGGGACTTCCTGGGAGAGTGGGGCTGAAGGGTACTCTCTACAGGCTTCGCGTTTACCTCCCCCTACTCGCATGCTCCCCCCATCCCCCAATCCCCCATCTCCTTGTTCCCCCATCCCCACTCCTCCCAACCCCCCAGCCATATCAGTCACGCCATCATCGCTCACCAGCTCGGCCAGCCTGTCCCAGCCATCGGTGGACGTGCTACCCACGGCCCAACCCTCACTCTCTTCTCTCATCTTCCCCCATCCTTCGTCCCACCCTCGTCACACTCCCCCTCCCATCAGCCATATCGGTGACGCCATCATCGCTGACCAGCTCTGCCAACCTCTCCCAGCCATCGGTGGACGTGCTACCCACGGCGCACCTCCAGATTCCATCTCCCATCCCCTCTCACAGCCCCTCGTCACACTCACCCACCCCACCAGCCATATCAGTCACGCCATCGTCGCTCACCAGCTTGGCCAACCTCTCCCAGCCATCGGTGGACGTGCTACCCACGGCTCAACTCTCATTCTCTTCTCTCATCTTCCCCATCCTCCACCCCCCAATTCCCCCACTCCACCTTCCCACCAGCCATCGCAGCCACGCCATCGCTCACCAGCTCGGCCAATCTCTCCCAGCCATTGGTGGACGTGCTACCCACGGCGCATCGGTCCGTGCGCTGCCTGGGGCCTGTCGAGGGGTACTCGCTGGGAGGGGTGCTCCCTCAAGGGTACTCTTTAGAGGCTTCGCGTTCACTCTCCCATGCTCCCCCCTTCCCCCAATCCCCCATCTCCTGATTCCCCCATCCCCACTTCCCTCTCCCCCCAGCCATATCAGTGACGCCATCATCGCTCACCAGCTCTGCCAACCTCTCCCAGCCTTCCGTAGACGTGCTGCCAACGGCGCATCGGTCCGTGCGCTGCCTGGGGCCCGTCGAAGGGTACTCGCTGGAGGCTGCTGACGTGGCGTCTGTGTGCAAGCAGTTTGCTCGCATGCTCTCCACCAATGCCGTGCAGTGCGCTCTCAAGTGAGATCTCTTTTCTCTTCGTCGTCTTGGTTTGTTGGTATTCGCTGGAGGTGGTGATGTGACGTGGCGTCCGTCTGCAAGCAGTTTTGCTGGAATGCTTTGCATTGTAAGAATTGCCGCTAGGTCATTCCCTCCATCCGTGAAACCAACTGCGTGCGTGCGTGTGTTTTTCACAATGAGATCATACTCTTCTCCCACTTCCACGCCCTCCCGCCTCGTTCCTGCTTCCTCCCTACCACCGCCAGCCAAATTTGCTTCAACAGACGAACGCACGCCGCCCGCACGATCCAGGTGGCGTTCCGTCAGTACTTGAGACGAAAATATGGGCTGTCCTTGCCGGATATTGTTAAGGCGGTTAAGAATAGGCGCATGGCGGCGGTGCTCAACAAAGCGCAGGAGCTGAGAAATACTAGTGCTATTAGTAGTTCTGCTGCTGCTGCTGCTTTGGCTGTTGCAGCTGCTGGAAGCGGGAGTGTGAGTGCTAGTGGGAGGAGCAGTGGCACGGAGAAGGCAAAGGGGGATGAGGAGAAAGGGGATAAAGGGGATAAGGGTGAAGGGAAGGTGAGGTTTGCTGTAGATAAAGGAGGCAGTGGACGCGATAAAAAGTTGGAGTAATGATAAATGAATTACCTTGCTCCACCCTGGCGCTATTGTATGACCAGTCATGATTCAGATTGACTGTCGGACCATTGAGTCTTAGACTGTTCTGTTTGCACACGTTGCACTTCTGTTTGCATAGCATACTCTCTTGCACTATGGTCTGGAAAAAGAGTTAATTATTTCCGTATTACTGGGGTAACTTGTTTCATGTACCGAATGAAGGCTACACTACACTGCTACGTATTGTCGTACAGCGGATTTCACTGTGACGAGTTTGCTGGAAGCCGCCAAGTCAGTCAGCAACGAACTGACGTCGCTCTGCTAGCGACGCGCATCCGTCCAGCAAGCGACCAGCTGGAGTTCATTGCGGACCGTCAGCGACAGCTCGCTCATCGCAAGCACACATCAGCCAACCCGTCACCGCCACAATTTTCGTCGCGAGCTGCACACACAATCGTTGGAGAAGGCATATTTTCACTGATTGGTTGATTCGTACGCCGACAAAATGTTTGTACGTCGGCGATTTGCAAAAAGGGAGAAGATCAACGAGGGGCCGAACAGTGGCTGAGGGGTGATCGAACAGGGGCCAAGAGGCCCGGAACTTACCAGACCGCTGCTAGAGGAGTTTTTAACAGAGAGTCTTTGTTTATTGCGCAAAATTATGTCAATAGTGGCGTGTACCGGCTCGCATTTTTGCTCGCGTGTCGTTTAGCGAGCCGACTCCACTGGGAACAATTAGGGCAGCCAAAATAACTAAAACTCATAGAGAACGTGGATGCATTTTCGGGATGGATCAACCCTAAAAACGAAAAACTTCCTGGTATTTAGGGTTGATGCCGAGTCGCATTCGTTTCCGAGTGGGTAAATATATATATAATATATATATATATTTTCTTGTGCGTTTACTATCGGGTAGGTGATATGTATCCCCCAGAATATAATATGTAGCGCCCGGTAGCGCTACCGACTGAGTCAGCACGCTGCCCGCGGGCAAAAAAAATAAACCCCATGGCTTACGGCATGCCATTCGGGAGCCTCAACCCTAAAATTTTAGGGTTGAGGCTCCCTCGGATGGCATGCCCGCGACTGGGGTTTATTTTTTTCTTGCCCACGCTGACTCATTGCACTGCCTGCTGACGCGGGCAGTGCAATATATATTCCAGAATATAATATGTTATACGTACTCACGATCTGACACGCCGAATCATACTACCAGAAGAAGGCGACGCGCGCGTTGTAGTAGACGGAGGTCTAAACCTAAACAAAGTAAAATGAACACATTTTTTGATTCTGTTTGCAAATCTCTTTTAATTACGGTTCGGCGTAATCGCCCAGTCGTTTAGGCAGCTCTGGGTCGAAATCCTACGGTCGAGATTTACCGGCCCTACTTCGATCACCCTTCTTGCACTGTTCCGCCCCTGGTTGATATTTTCCCTTGCAAAAACTCGTTTTTGGGAAGGAGGGGCAGGTTGGGGGGTTCGTTTGTAGACGGGAGGGGAGCACGGGAGTGATACGACGCGATACTTTTCGCTGGAATCGTGGATGATCGTCGTCGCGCATTTCGTCTCCCCTCGTTCTCCGATCGTTTGCCCCACTCCGATCCCCCCTTTTGCAGAGAAGGGGGGAGGAGCGGGAATATCGAGGTGGGGTGGGTGTGGAAATGGAAGGAACAAGGGGGGGTGCACGTGCGCGTCGCACAAGGGGCGCAAATATGCTAGGGGCGCAATTCAGCGAAGGGCGGAATACAGCGGGGTCGCAAAATGGTCGATTTGGCGAAGGGCGCAAAACAGGCGGGGACCGTCCGCCTAAGCGGGTCAACTAATTGCCAGCAGCAGCAGCAGCCACAGGAGCAGAGCCAAACCAATGCCCCTCCCTCCCGCCCTGCCCGAGGCATTTCAGCTTCGGCGTGCCACCAACCAGCCAACCAGGGCAACTGCCATGAGCCGCGAATCAGCGACCGCGATTGCGGATGCTTGGTGTAACGAGGAAAAAAACAGATAACTAACTTCCCAAAATTTTACGCCAAGGGACAATTCGTCCCTCCACCCCAGAAACTCGGCTGTGAAGGTAGTAGGCACACACCCCACAAGGGTAGTGTGGTCAACACAGCGCCATGGCCACGCTTCCCGCGTCGCGCGTCGTTCACGCACGAGGTGCATCTTCCTTGCCGTCCTCGCGCACTAGGGTAACCAGCTCGTCGTCTGAAGCCTCCTTTCGCGAAGCGTCGCATGGGCCATACCTCCCGCCCCGCAGCCGTCGATTAAAGCCTTTAATCGCAATATCCGCCGATCCCAGCCATTGCACGTTGCGAACATCCCAGCCACTCAAGGACCGCCACGTGGCGTCATCTGGACTTTCAGAACCCGCAGCGCGAGTTTCTATGCCAATAACGAACGGCGGGGATGTCCTCGAAGCGCGTAGCCCCTTAAAATCAGGGGAGAAGAACAAGTTAGTGCAATCAGCATCAGGAGAGTCGACTACCTTTGACGCCAACTGCGTTATTATAAAGGCTAATAGTGGGGATGTCGGCGCACCGTCGTCGCGCGTCATTTCGTCGCGCGTTGCTGCTTATAACGGGGATCGCGATGTCAATCGGTCGAAAGCTTACTCCGATATTGGAACACCTCAGGACACCAGGACAACCGCTCTAATCACAGCCGTGCGTCAGATACTCGGGCAGTGGCGGCACGAACTCTCGCAGAAGACGCATTGCGACAGTATAGGCTCCTCCTCTTCCTCCTGCTCCTCCTCTGCTCTCTCTTTCCAGTCCCCGGAATCAACGGCTTCGGTTTTCCTGAAATCTTCGGCTTCTGATTGGCGGAAGCTAGCCGCGTCAGCGTCGATCGCGATGCTCGTCCTCTCCTCCTCCGCAAATCCCGCGCTCGCTTACGTGGCGGCGCCTCCGCGCACGCTTTCGCAAGACGAAATCGCGACCGTCCGATTGTTCAAGGAGACCACCCCGTCAGTCGTGAACATCACGAATCTCGGCGTGGGGCGCGACGCGCTGACGCTTGATGTGCTGTCCGTGCCGCAAGGGTCGGGGAGCGGGTTTATATGGGACGAGATGGGGCATATCGTGACCAACTACCACGTGATTGCCAATGCTGCCGATCTTAGGTGAGTGAATGGGTGGAATGCGGTGGAATAAGGACTTGGGAGCAGTGTGTGTCGATGTGCTGGCCGTGCTGCAAGGGTCGGGGAGCGGGTTCATATGGGACGAGATGGGGCATATCGTGACCAACTACCATGTGATCGCTAATGCTGCCGATCTTAGGTGAGTGAATGGGTGGAATGCGGTGGAATAAGGACTTGGGAGCAGTGTGTGTCGATGTGCTGGCCGTGCTGCAAGGGTCGGGGAGCGGGTTCATATGGGACGAGATGGGGCATATCGTGACCAACTACCACGTGATTGCCAATGCTGCCGATCTTAGGTGAGTGAATGGGTGGAATGCGGTGGAATAAGGACTTGGGAGCAGTGTGTGTCGATGTGCTGGCCATGCTGCAAGGGTCGGGGAGCGGGTTCATATGGGACGAGATGGGGCATATCGTGACCAACTACCACGTGATTGCCAATGCTGCCGATCTTAGGTGAGTGAATGGGTGGAATGCGGTGGAATAAGGACTTGGGAGCAGTGTGTGTCGATGTGCTGGCGGTGCTGCAAGGGTCGGGGAGCGGGTTCATATGGGACGAGATGGGGCATATCGTGACCAACTACCACGTGATTGCCAATGCTGCCGATCTTAGGTGAGTGAATGGGTGGAATGCGGTGGAATAAGGACTTGGGAGCAGTGTGTGTCGATGTGCTGGCCGTGCTGCAAGGGTCGGGGAGGGGGTTCATATGGGACGAGATGGGGCATATCGTGACCAACTACCACGTGATTGCCAATGCTGCCGATCTTAGGTGAGTGAATGGGTGGAATGCGGTGGAATAAGGACTTGGGAGCAGTGTGTGTCGATGTGCTGGCGGTGCTGCAAGGGTCGGGGAGCGGGTTCATATGGGACGAGATGGGGCATATCGTGACCAACTACCACGTGATTGCCAATGCTGCCGATCTTAGGTGAGTGAATGGGTGGAATGCGGTGGAATAAGGACTTGGGAGCAGTGTGTGTCGATGTGCTGGCGGTGCTGCAAGGGTCGGGGAGCGGGTTCATATGGGACGAGATGGGGCATATCGTGACCAACTACCACGTGATTGCCAATGCTGCCGATCTTAGGTGAGTGAATGGGTAGAATGCGGTGGAATAAGGACTTGGGAGCAGTGTGTGTCGATGTGCTGGCCGTGCTGCAAGGGTCGGGGAGCGGGTTCATATGGGACGAGATGGGGCATATCGTGACCAACTACCATGTGATCGCTAATGCCGCTGATCTTAGGTAAGTGAATAGGTGGGATACGGTGGAATAAGGACTCGCAGCGGTGAGTGTCACTGTGCTGGCGGTGGTGCCGCGTGGGTCGGACAGCGGGTTCATATGGGACGAGGCGGGACACATCGTCACCAACTACCACGTGATCGCTAACGCTGCTGACCTTAGGTACGTGGATGGGTGGAATGCGGTGAAAAAGGACTTGGCAGCGGCGAGCGTGCGTGAGTGAGTGTCACGGTGTTGGTGATGGTGCGGGCAGCGGGTTCATGTCGGACGAAGCGGTGCACACCGCTACCAACTCACACGGGACGGTGGAGAATAAGGAAATGCCAGCGCTGCTGATGATCACTTTTCCCCAAATCTAATCCCGCAGGGTCACGCTTTCAGACTCCTCGGTGCATGCAGCGGTGGTGGTGGGGTGCGACGAGGACAAGGACGTGGCAGTGCTGCGAATCGACGCCCCTCAGGAGTCACTCCAACCGGTTACCGTCGGATCGTCTTCAGATTTGATGGTCGGGCAACGGGTCTTTGCCATTGGTAACCCTGTGAGTTACACACACCCTCCCTCCCTCACTCACTCACTCTGCTCTCCCCACCCACACCACACTTCCCATGTTTGGCATCATCCTTGGTCCCATATACCTGTTTGTT